TATTAATAGTTTTTTTATTAATAATATAAAGGAGTTAAGCTTAGGCCTACTTTAGACTAAGCTTAGCCTAAGGCTACTATAGGCATACCCCTAGTATACCCCCTTTATATACTAGAGTAGATAAATAGACTAGCTTTTCCTTCTTTTTTACTTTATAAGAGAGTTAATACTATTATAATACCTATCTATAGATATCCTAGGGCTAGTCCTTAATAAATAATAAAGATTTAAGTTCTTAGTTAAGATATATAATTATTCTAGATAATAAGGAACCTATTAACTATACTAAAATTAATATCTAGAGTAATATTATTACCTAAAGCTTAATAAAAAGTAAGTATATTACCTAAAGTATACTAGTATTAAAGCTATATAATATAATTCTAAGTACTAATATAGATTATACCTTTTCTACTACCTTAAATAGGATTATAAAGTTAATAAACCTAATAGTAGTTCTAATAGTAGTTTATATAGATTTATTTTTACTATATAAATACCTAATAAAGCTTAAAACTATTAAAAAGAAATACCTAATAATTAATATTATAATACTATATTAATCCTATAAGTATTATAAGCTTACTAAGGTCTACTAGATTAATAGTAATAATAACCTTATAAATATACTAATAAAGGCTACCTTAAATAAGGTATTATAAAAGCTAGTTAATAGTAACTAGTTAATACTATATATCTAGAGCTAGGTTAGCTATATTATAGAAGCTATAGAAAGGCTTAAAGGCTATATAACTTAGCTAAAAAAAGAAATTACTAGTATTATACTAGTAGGTATTATAGTAGATATAGTTAGCTAAGTATAATAAATATTTAGTATAATATATTATATATAAAAGTATATAGTAAATAGAGTTATATTATATATAATTATATATAGTAACTAGTTATATTATATATATATTTATATAGTAATTATACTATATAATAGTATATAAAGAGGTTTTAATAACTATAGCCTTAATATAAAGTACTATAGGGACTACTATAGTAGGTAACTAAGCTAATAAAGCTAGACTACTATAAAGGCGCTATTACCTCCTATAGGTAAGTAAAGTAATTACTTATAAGCTATTAACTACTAATATATATAACTATTAATTATTCTTTTATTCCTATAATTTCCTAGTAATACCTAAGGTACTACCTATTTATATATTTAACTATAGTCTTTTCCTTCTATAGTTTATTTTATTAGTTAATTAAGAATTATTATTATATAACTATTCCTATAGAACACCTCTATAAGCACTCTATACCTATAATCTTATAACTATTACCTGCTTAGGATAGCAATCCCAATAAGGGTAGGCTTATATACTAACTATTTAGCTAGTTTAGTAATTACCTTATCTTTAGGATAATATATAATAATTTAGACTTTTTATAATTATAGGAGTTTTATTATATCTACGTTTAGGATTACTAGTAGTAGCTTAGTCTAGTCTACTATATATCTTTAGTAAATAGTTATATTAGTTAAATATATTAGCTTAGCCTTATCTAGCTTAGAGAATATAGGTTCTACTTCTAGGTAGTAGTAGGTAATATATACTAGGATATATATATCTTATAGTATATATCCTAACTAGTCTATATAGCTAGCTATACTTCTTAGTTAATAGAGGTTATAATAATAGGGGTTTTAATAATAATTTAATAGTTTAGTATAACTAGGTTATAATAATTAACTAGGTTATAATAATTTATTTTTTAATATAACTAGGTTATAATAATGTGATGATTTAATGATTTTTAATAGAACTTCTAGTTATACTGATTTTTTAATATAATTGCTACTAATTTATTAGTGTGTATATTAGAATGAAGATGATATTCCTAGGCCATGCCCTGCTCTGGCTACCTATCTAGTGGTGGTGTGGGCCCACCAGCCATACACACCACACTCCTCCTGTTAGCAAGCGCTGTATTGCAGCGCTGAAACCTTCTGCAACATGCCCTGTGCTGTTTGTTGCTCTAGCGCTGTAAGTGTCAAAGCCCAGTGAGGGGCAGCACTGGGCACGCAAAGCGGGGTGCAAAAATTGCCCTGAAAGGCGACCCTCCCGATCGTGACAACTGTCTTGGTGGCTCGTCACAGAAAGCTGCGCTGTCATTTCATCCCTCTTGCAACTGACTCTCCTCTCGCCCTGGGCATTCGCCGGTGACTCACGGTTCATCACTCGACGCTTGAATCTCGAGTCATCTGAATATCGTGGCCATATAAGCTACAGTCTGCCCGACTGGTTCCTGGTGACGCCTTTCTGTATGCATCTTCTGCGCATACTGTCGCGAGCTCCCAGAATCTCCCCTCCTCGAACGCTCCTCCAATTTCATAGACTCTGCTCGACCGCTACCATGGCGTCTCTAAAGCTTCACAACTCGCTGCACCCCGGCGCACCAGTTCCCTTTGTTCCCAAGGTGGACGGCAAGGTTAGCTGGTACGTCTGCGGCCCGACCGTCTACGACAAGAGCCACTTGGGCCATGCGCGCAACTATGTCACCTCGGACGTGATTCGCCGCATTTTGATGCATTATTTCAAATTTGACGTCAAGTATGTCATGAATATTACGGACATTGACGACAAGGTTGGTTCACCGTCTACCTGTTGCTGCGCATGTTGACTCACACAAACCAGATCATCATCAAAGCGAGACGGCAGCGACTCCTCGACGTTGAAAAGAAGAAGCAATACTCCGCTGAAGAGCTGAAACAACTGGGCTTGAGTGCCTTTGTTGCATACGCAGAGAAAAGCTTGCCTCTTCTGACCGAGGCCGAGGCGAACCTCAACGAGTCCAACTATCCCGCCGCTCGAGACAAGGCGTACGCCAAGGTCCTTGCTGGAGGAACGCTGACGGGCGAGGGCAAGGCCGGCGACGCTGAAGCCAAGATCAAGATGCACATTGGAAACATGAACCTGGCTGCCGAAGCTATCAAGTCTAGTCAGATCCACCCCGGCTGCGACGAGATTCTGCTGCCCTACCTCGACTCCCTGTACAAGGAGACGGTAGATACCAGCGACCAGAGCATGTTCACCGACCTCACAAAGGCCATGGAGGACCTGTTCATGCAGGACCTGGACTCGCTCAATGTTCTGCCCCCTGATGTTATTACTCGCGTCACCGAATATGTTCCTCAGATTGCCCACTTTGTCCAGCGCATTGTCGAAAAGGGCTTTGCATACGAGGCCGACGGCTCCGTCTACTTTGATATTACTGCATTTGAAAAAGCCGGCAACACCTACGCCAGACTTCGACCCGATAGCAAAAACGACAAGGCCCTGCAAGAAGAGGGCGAGGGTGCTCTCTCCACCAACCTTGGTGGCAAGCGTTCGCCAGGCGACTTTGCGCTATGGAAAAAGTCCAAGCCCGGTGAGCCGTTCTGGCCCAGCCCCTGGGGTGAAGGTCGCCCTGGTTGGCACATTGAGTGCTCCGTCATGGCCTCTGATATTCTCGGCTCACAGATGGACATTCACTCAGGCGGTATTGACCTTGCATTCCCTCACCACGATAACGAGCTGGCTCAGAGCGAAGCCTACTTCTATGAACCTGGCAAGGGCGAGCACACTTGGGTCCGCAACTTCCTTCACACCGGCCATCTACACATTGCTGGCTCCAAGATGTCCAAGTCACTGAAGAATTTCCAAACCATTCAAGATGCTCTCGCTACCACATTTAATGCTCGTCGCATGCGCACAGTCTTCTTGATGGGCAAGTGGAACGACGGCGTTGAAATCTCACCCGACATGATTACGCAGGCCGATAGCTGGGAGTCTACCATTAGCAACTTCTTCACCAACACAAAATCCTGGCTCGCCGAGGCCAGTGGTAACAGCATCCAAAACCTATCTCTGGCTGACAAGGCCGGCTCACCTCTCGTCACGGAGTTGGAGCAGGCCAAGTCAGAGGTCGACGCCGCGCTTTCAAACTCTTTCGATACCCCTCGAGCAATGCTCGTCATGTTGAAGCTTGTCAACACCACAAATGCCTACCTCAAGGACAACAAAGATGTCAATCTGGCCGAGGTTGAGGCTATTGCCCGATGGCTTACCAACGTGGTTGGTATTTTTGGCCTTGACGCCAACGCCAAGCCTCCCTACAACAGCCTTGGATGGGCTTCCGTGATTGCCGACAACGTCGATCCCAAGACTGCTGTCGAGCCTTACAAGTCCATGATGGACACGGTCAAGGCCGATGTTAAAGCACTGTCCCTGAACAGCGATGCCATTTCTTCCCTGGTTGCGAAGGATCCTGCTAGCGACTTTGACGCCATTGCCCAAAGCGGCTCCAAGGACATTGAGCAGCTGTCTCTGCCCTACCTGCGTGTGGCTGCCCAGCTCCGCGACGAGCTACGCCGAGTGGTTTCAGCGCAAACACCTGATGTCAAGAAAGCTATTCTCAGTCTAACCGACCGCATACGTGACCATGACTTTACGAACCTAGGTGTCTACCTTGACGACCGTCCGGATAACCAGCCCTCTCTCATTAAGTTTATTCCCGCCGCTGAGCTCATTGCCGCGCGCGAAGAAAAGGCTGCCGCCGCCGCTGAAAAGGCGCAGAAGAAGGAAGAGGCCCGCATCGCGCGCGAAAAGGCCGATCAAGAGGCCCGCGAAAAAGCCAAGGTGCCCCCGGAGGAGATGTTCAAGTCGGACGAGCGTTATAGTGCATTGGACGAGCAGGGCCTGCCGACCAAGATGAAGGACGGCAGCGACGTGCCCAAGAGCCAGCAGAAGCAGAACAAGAAGAACTGGGATAGACAGAAGAAGGCGCATGACGACCTGAAGGCCAAGGGCGGCCTGTAAAAAAGAAGCATGCATGGGATAGAGGAGTTGGGCTGGTAGCGTAGAAGTGATATCATCGTCCTGGTTATCACGGCTTTATTTTTACTCGTTGGTTTTTGACACTTATGATGTAAGACATGTCATGACGTTGCTGGCATATGCCTGAGATATAAAAAATGCAATGCAAACGCCGTCTAATAAAGGCTACTTTTTATTTTGGCTTCGGAGAATGCTCGTCGCTATCGTCCGAAACTCGTCCCCAAACTGCAATTTTTCTTCCCACCGCCGCGGTATGGCATCCTCTCCATCCCGCGCACCCAGCAGACCACCAGCAATGGCGGCATTCGTATCCGTGTCCTTGCCGACGCGCACCACGTCGACGAGCACGTCCTCGAGACAGCGGGGGTCGAGCACGGCAGCCACGGCCAGCGACAGCGACTCGAGCACGTAGCCGCTGCACCCGCCGGGCATGGCGCTCGGCGGGGGGCCAAACTCGGCGAGCCCCTGCAGGCGCAGCTGCGTGCCGAGCTTGAGGGCGCCGAGCACCGACTGCTTCTTGGCGTCGGGCTGCTGCAGGTGCTCGAGTCGACGGCATACGCGGAGGCCGGCGTCGACGGCGGCGTCGGGGCCGCGCCCGAGCACGAGCTCGGCAGCCATGGTGTTGTACACGGCGCAGGACACGGTGCAGAGCGCGTCGTCGTGGGTGATGCGGCTGATGCGCATGCTCTCGGCCACGAGCCGGTCGGCGTCGGCGGCGCGGAACAAGCCCGTCGGGAGGCAGCGCATCAGACTGCCGTTGCCGGCGCGTCCCGGTCCGGCGCCGGCGTTGTCCGGGTCGAGCGAGGCAGAGAAGCGGCGCAGGCCGTCCTCGGTGGCGGCGCCCATGTCCACGGGGCGGGTGCCGGGCGGGACGCGGCCGGGCCAGTCGCCGGCGCGCCACTTGAGAAAGTACCGGCCGGCGCGGGTGGCGACGTCGGAGCGCTGGTGCTGCGGATCGGTCAGGCAGTCGAGGTAGGCGAGGAGCACGCCGCGCGTCATGTCGGTGTCGTCGGTGGCGTGCCCCGCGGGCCACTTGAAGGCGCCGCCGCCGGTGATGTCCCGCAGCGTGCCGGGGTTGTCGCGCGGGTAGGCCGACTTGATGAAGGCGTGGCTCTGGAACTCGACGGTGGCGCCGAGGGAGTCGCCGGCGTGGAGGCCGAGGAGCGCCCCGACGATGCGGGACTCGCGATTTATGGTGGGCATTATCTTCTTTATTAGAAGACGCAATCACAGGGCGTCAATTTAGTATTAGCGTAGAGGTATTCTACGCCAATACCCGTCTCACTTGCGAGTATGCTCTTTATGTACTTATCGTGTCGCTGGTGAAACGCCTAGTATGGCGTCGAGGTAACTGTTGGCGGTCATTTGCGCCGGCCGCCACCGCCAACGGGGAGCAGCCCTACGCAAACGGCGCTTCTAGTCTGATGACATGCAAGCCTGCGCACCACAGTTATACGAAAACCTGACACCATCGACATAGTCTTGGATAAGAAGCCGCCCAATCATAATCTCTAATACCGCCCACTTCCAAGAGAAAATACAGCGTGCCAACTTCACCTCCTCACGCCACTCAACCCGACACATGCATCATGGCCTACCAACTTTCCATACTTCCTTGCTGCCTTGATACTCCGCACCCGACACACCCACCAGCAGTTAGCCGGCCGTTAAGAATCCAAATAGAGGGGCCAAAGGTTAGTATCGATAAACTCTTCCCCGGGATTTCGTGGCAGACGTCTGCGGCCATACCGACGTCTCCACAGCCGGCTGGGCCAAAGCTTGCAGCTTTGGCATACCAAGCAGTGTACGGTGTAGCTCCTCGCCCTGGCACAAATAATTTAGCCGTCAGGGACGAGTATCTGGGCTGGATTATGCCAATGCCAACAAGGTGCGCTGCGTAGCGAGGCGCTCATTCTAGATTTACTCAGTTTGACTGACAGCGGCTTAGGGAGATAGACTATTATGGGGTGACCTTTGACCATGGAGTGCCCGCAGATGACATGAACCCTGAGGTATTGCAGATCAATATTCTGGAAATGGAAGAAGACAATGGCGCCTACGCAAATAAAGGCATTCTATTCCAGGTCGATCCAGCAAAGTACGCAAGTGTTAGCATCCTTGCCGTGCCCAGATGTTGCCAGAGAAGAAAAGGCACTACAGACCGCCTGAGAATCAATTCTGCCGTGGAGACCAGGGTTGCTATTCAAGCTGGAATGTCCTGGCTGGACAGGGTTCAACAACTCGAAAACCGCGGCGAGCTACGACCCGCAAAGCCAGTCGTTTAACGAGATACAATTCGCAGAAGGTCAGGAAAAGGTGGTCGTTCTACCGTGGTGCCCGGCGTGAGATGCTGGGCACTTCCGAACAAATATGGCCTTTGATGGAACGAAAGACGATGCTATCAAGTCTATATTTAGCACATCTTACGCAATGGTGTCAAGAGAAAGTCTATACTTTTGATGGCAATGGTGTGCCTTGGACTAAGCGATGGGTTCTCGATCCACAGCCCTTTGTTACATTCTTACCCCGAGGTCACTGGAGCGTGCCAAGTCCATCATACTGCAGTATGAGTAAATAGAGCTAGGATTAAAGGTCTAGAGTTTTTGTAAGAATATGTTCTACATTTACACGTGTAAGTGGGAGGAAACCCATGAAGCGCCACGCAATTTTCCCTTGCAATAGCTATGCTCAGCAACTAAGTAAAATAAATTCAAGCTAGAATCAAATAATTATATCCGAATCTACCATCTGCCATTGTGGGGAAACCCCCTTCTCTCCTTATTCCCTCCTCAACATCGGTCTCTTGCCTTTGCTCCTCCGGCGCTCGGCCAACTTGTCGCCCTACATGCAAGTCCGGAGGCGGTCGCGCGACTAAATCCCCCACCTCCATCTGAAGCCGAGCTGCCATCCCCAACCTTCCGAAAAAGAACAACATCCATCCAAGCCCAGTCTCTCGTTCCCCCTCCCACCACTTAATCCGCCAACCGCAATATACCCAGCCCCCCCCCTCGGACGATCCAACCGCCCCAAGCACACACCGTACCCGCCATGGCGCAGACCACCGCCCACCGTCGCCTGCTCCAAGAGTACCGCGCCCTGACCAACAACCCGCCCGATGGCATCACCGCCGGCCCCGTGTCCGAAGACGATATTTTGCGCTGGGAGTGCCTGATCCAGGGCCCCGAGGGCACGCCCTTTGAGGGCGGCGTCTTTCCCGCCGAGCTCAAGTTTCCCAAGGATTACCCGCTGGCGCCGCCGACCATGCGGTTCCTCTGCGACCTGTGGCACCCGAATGGTTAGTTTTTTCTCTTCTTTTGCGCGTCTCTCTCTTTTTTTTTTTTTGCACCAGGGGGGGAGATGCAGCTGCTAACAATACATCCGAGCAACAGTCTACTCGAGCGGCCTCGTCTGCATCTCCATCCTACACCCGCCCGGCGACGACCCCAACCACTACGAGCACGCCTCGGAGCGCTGGTCCCCGATCCAGTCGGTCGAAAAGATCCTCATCTCCGTCATGAGCATGCTGGCCGAGCCCAACGACGAGAGCCCCGCCAATGTCGAGGCCGCCAAGATGTGGCGCGACCGCAGGGCCGAGTACGAAAACGTCGTCCGCGAGGGCGTCCGCCGAACCTTGGGCTTGTAAAGCAAGCTCTGGTACTTTGCTACTCCTATAACATGACGAAATACCCTTTGCAGATAGAATACATCTGGATTCCGTTGCGCAGTTCCTTTGCTGTTTGGCTCCCCTAGCGTTGGTCTTCTCTCTTCTTATGCTTCAACATTACACACCGTCGTCGCACTGCGGGCCAAAGAGACGTGGTCGAAACTATATTGATATCTTTCTTGTATTTGTTTATTCTATGTATTCCAAGGGTGAATTGATGGAACACTTGCCCCCCATGCTACTTCGCGCGCTCTCCTTGTCTAATGTAAACTTGCTCCTGTAAATGTATTTCATATCTCATAGTCCATTCTCTGCCTTGAACTTGTCCCACGCCTCGTTGAGCGTGCTAAACACCAATCCCGCAATCAGCCGCACTTCTGTCGAGGCGCTTTGCGCAATCTAGAGACACGAATTAGTACACAGAACAGACCGTACCGACAAGACCGATACTCACCTTATCCGGGTGCGTCTTGGCAATCGCCTTCATGTACGAAATCTTGACCTTGTTCGCCATGACGAGCTCGTGCATGCCGACCTTTTGCCATCCGCTGTCCGCCCAGAGCACCTGATCCAGGCTCGCAATCAGTCCACGGAGGTTATCGCGCTTGCCGTCGCGCCACGCCGCCATCTTGGCGTCCACCTGCTCCGAGAGCGCAAACTTGGCATCGTCTTCCCTGGCCGCGGCCTCGCTGGCCTCGCGCAGTCGCGTGACGGCTGCTGAGTCCTTTTGGGGCTGCAGGCTGGCGGCAGCCGGACGTTGTGGTGGCTTGGGCGCCGGCGCCGACACCTTGGGCTTGGGCGCGAGAGCAGTCTGGCATCGCTGGCGGCCCGTGACGGCTGTGGCACCGCCGAGGCCTGCTTCCACCGCCAGCTTCCACACGGTGAGGGCATCCGCCCACTTCTCCATCTGTTCGAGGGCTTCGGCCTTGCGGCTAAGCGCCTTGCCGTAGAGGTCGCGCATATCGCGGTGTTCTTCTTGGCCGGCATCGCCAGTTACCGCCACCGTCTCACCCTGGCCGCTACCGGGCCCAATGATGCCAATGGCGGTGTCGGCATCCACCACGGCTTGCTTCGGCTCACCCGTTTTCAAAGCGGTCAGTGCTCGATTTGTGAGGAGAATGATGGCGAGCGGATGTGTAGACGGCACGGCAGCGAGAGAGGAAGAGTATGATGCATGCGCCTGCGCAAAGTCTCCGCGCTTGAAATGTGCAGTTCCCTCGAGGCGATGCCTTGTAGAAGTTTGCACGGCCGAAGGCGTGATGGGGGGTATTTGGCGGGCGGGCCTTGGTGTCGCTCTGCGCACGGGAATCGGTTTGGGTTGCGGTTTCGTCGCAATGGGTGCGGCTCGAGGCGGCGGAGGGGTAGAACGGTTCGGTTGCCTGGGCGCTTCAGAGCCGAACAGCAGATCCGGTTCAGGCTCTGTTTTGGCCGGCTCCGCTGGAGACGCTGGCTTGCGTCTTCTGCTCGAACTAATGGCAAATGTATCGTTGTCATCTGCGAAGCGATTGAGCCGCGACCGCGCATTCGGCACCAGAGGAGGGGCCGCTTGTTGTTGCTGCCACCTCGGCACAGAGCCGCTCCGGCTCTGGCCGGCAGACGACGTCGCGGGTGAGGCGCTTCTGGCAGGGTCCGGCGTCTCTCGACGGCCCTTTTCCTTGGCTTGTCTCGGTCGCCCACCCGATTCCAGCATCATCGCCTCATCAGTGGCGTTGACCTCCGCCCTCGTAGGCCCGCGGGCCTGGTTTACCTGGGCATCGCGCATCCACTTGGGCTGGCTGGGGTCACCACCACCACCCTCTTGCTGGAAGTCGGCCACGGCCTGCTGCACCTTCTTCTGACTCGTCTTCCACAACGAGTTGGCCGTCTTGAATATGCTGCTGCCCACCGCCGCTGCCGACTTGGCAAAGTCGGGCTCGCCTCGGCCGCCCGCGGGTGTCTGCTCCCGGCGCTCCGATCGGTTCGAGTTGTTCGACGAGGGTCGTCCCTGCACCTTTGCTTTGGATTTCCGGTGCGCCTCATCGAGGAGCCAGTTGGCCGCCTGCTCGACGTTGGTGCCGGCGCCGCTCTCGACTAAGGCGCGGCGCGCGTCATCGGGCGCGAAGCCATAGTCGACAAGCTGGGCTAGAGCGCCGTCAAACGCGGCGTCGCTGCCATTTTGAGCTCGGCGGGTATCCTTTCGTGGTTGTCGAGGCAGGTCTGCTTCGTCGGAAGAGCTCGAGTCGTCATCCTCAATCGGTTTGCCCGGCTCGCCGCGCTGCGGAGCCACCTGCTGTTTGGCGCGCACCTCCTCCACCGGCCGTCCCAGGTCGCCCAGGAAATCGTCATCATCGTTTATCAGCATTGTGTTTTGTGGTATCGCCGCCGAAGGAGCAGCGTTGGCCTCGAATTCGCTGAGGCCAAACGGATCGTCGTCGTTGGCCGGAAACGCCGCGGTGTCTGACCCCGAGGCGCTCCAGGCACTGGGGTTGGAGAGGTCGAGGGGCTTCTTTTCAGCAATCGGCGGAGTGGCCTTCTTCTCCGGTGGCGGGAAGTGGCTCGCGTTATCGACTTTGGTGTCCTTGTTGAAAGCTGCAAAGAGGTCGTCGTCGTCGTCGTTGCCGGAGCTCTGCGCCGCGACCGGCGACGGTTGTAGTCCAGGACTCGAGGTCTGGCCGCGCGCTCCGAGCATGTCCCATTGCTGCCCGTTCCCAAACTGCGCCTCGGTCAGCTTCCGCCTGTCCTCCTCCTTTCTACGCTTCTCGGCCTCGAGCTGCGCCTGGCGCTCGGCGAGGCTCAGGTTCTGGGACGTCTTGGCGGGGCCGAAGCGCGCCAGGCTGCTGAAGCTATCTTGGGCGGCCTTGGGCTGTTGTTGCTGCTGCTGCTGTAGTTGGTGCGGCTTCGCAAAGGTGCTGCTCCCCGTGCCCTGTGTGGACGCGGGGGTGTTGCGTCCCGACGTAAAGGGCGAGGGGCTCGGTCGCAGCGAAGGGTAGGCCATGTTACTAGCCATGGGTGCCCCTTTGAGCGGCTGCCCACCGCTGGGCTTGGACCAATCGAGACCGGACAGGTCATCCATGTCGCAAGGGCTCTTCGTCTTGTCGAAATACCGTGGGCGCTCTCGAAAAATGGCACACGATCATGACATTTGTTGTTCTTGAGAGTTGCCTGGAGTTTGGGGTTGCTGGCATTGGTTCCACATACGCCCTGCGCCACAGACGAGGCCCCGTTTATGTATTGCTCGGCCACGGTGGCGCAAATCACATAACCCCAGTAGAGGTAATCTGTACAGTGTAATAAATACAAGAATGTAGACATAAAAAAAAATTGACAACAGGACTGACTATCCCTAATGCTGTTTAGGTAGGGGGTTTTTTTTTTCTCGCTGAATGCTTCTTTTATTCGCTTCTTTGCGTGTTTTGTGGTAGTGTTGTCTATAAAACAAAACCTCTTTCATCGTGGTGAACAGCTACGTATGAAGTGTGATAGAATACATCAAATTCGTTACTGGCTATATATAAAATATCTTGTTTGTATTTTCGTTTTTTTCTTGATTTGATTTGAATCTCTTCTTTGCAACTGCCCTTCGCTTATGTTCTACCCCCACCCAATTGCCCCTTCCTGCCATGTCTCTCCCCGGGCTACACATTTTCCGACACCCACTCACAGGTCAGCTGCGACAGCCCGGATACTGTTCATAATAATCTCCAAAATCCTCCGCCAACGCTTTCATCCAGAAATCGACCCCGAAAACCTGTGGCTTCGAACGGAATCTCTCCGTCAGTTTTTCCGCAACGCGGCGCCTCCTCTCGCCATCATCGCACGACTCAAAGTACAGGTCTTCATTGCTCTTGATGTCGCTCGGCTCGCATTCCCCCGCCGCGAGATGCTGCCGTGCCTCTCGGATATCCGACCTAGCTTGCAGTTCCTCAATGAGCCGCAGCGGGTCTCGCGCGGCAAACTCGGGGTGCAAGCTGAAGAGCGCGGCAAAGTGGCGATAGTCGTCGTACGTGTCGAGATGGGTCCATCGCAGGTAGTGCCACAGCACGTCGGTCAAGATCCACGAGACCGGAGACCTAGGGATGGGTCCTAGAGCGGCGGCTTCAAATCCAATTCGGAATGCCGCTCGGTCTTCGGCCGAGGGCTGCCCTTGCCGGTCCGCCAACCCGGGCGCAATGAGCAGCTGCCCCAACGGCATGGTTGAGGAATATTTCCAGTTGATAATGCAAGTAATGTTGCAGTCCTCATCGACAAAAATGTTGCTGCTCTTGAGATCAGCGTGGCCGATTGGAAAGCCGGTGCTTTGAGACGCGCATAACTGTGGGATCACGTCCTGCACGAGCTTCCCCGCTGTGTGGTACTGGATGCGGTTCTCGCCACTGTCAATCTTGTCATCAACTGTCACAAAATCGCTCCAGAGATCTACAACGATCCTGTAGCTCTCGGCGTCTGGGTAAGCCGCCAACTCGGGGCACGGGCTGCAGAAGAGATGATGGCTCATGGAGAGGTCCTGAACCTGTCCGAGGAAAGCCTCCGCCAACGCTCGATAGTAGTCCTGGTCTGTTGCAAAGGGGCCCCGGTACATGGCGATCCGATGGCGATCTTGGAGCATGAATGCTGGCGAGAGCACTTGGTTGAGCCCAACCAAGCCATCCCTCTCCTGTATGGAGCCAATCTTATCAAACCGCAGGTTTGACAAGTCAAAGCACAGTTCACCCAGTCGTCCCATGACTTTTCTTGTTACGTGTGACAGCTTTTTCATTCCGGCACCTTCTAGCCGGCGCAGGCGTTCGGAAAAGGACTTGCCTGGCGCACACGTCATGAGAATGTACGGCACGCCTACAGCGTTTGAACTGGTACAGCTGCCCTCTTGTTAGCGCCACCTCGATGTCACAACTCCGTCTTTTTGCAGCTCAATACCTGTGATCAATAACTCGAGGCACCGGGAGGGCGCTGTGGCGCGCGAGAAAATTGAGCGTCGCCACCTCGCTACCAATCAGGTCCCCCAGCACCTCCGGCGGTAGACTCTGCCCAGCTCCGTCGTGCCGAGGCGTGCGAAACGCCCATGTCGGACCGTCATCAAAGGCCACCATGACGACCTTGTTGAAACTGCCGTAGAGCGGCGCTCCCACTATCCGACAAGTGACCCGCCGCTGGCCTCGCAGTGACGCGGCCAGCTTCACGACGGCTACTACATTCAGAGGTGTGTCGGGCGCCATGGTCGGTTAGTTGTTTGAGAAGCCCAAGTTTCATCTCATGACACCCGCGAAGTCGGGTATTTAATAGGCACTACTTGATAGTGAATCAAGGTTCAGCAGAGCCAATGTGCCACAACACCCCGTAGTCGCACATTGATGCAGCCATGTATACACAGGGATCAGACTTTTGTTTATATCCTCCGAGGGACACTCCTCCCACGGACTCGAGCAGTTCAAGCAGTCTCGAAACCTGCAAAGTTGTGAAAACATGAATCGCTTTGCTACTGTTGCTCCCTGCTTGCTTTGCGGGCGTATGATCTTTGACGGCGAAGTTAGAAATGCCCCAACTTGGCTGAACCAGTTCCGCATACGTATGGTTTGTAACACGACATATATTTCGTTGCATATACTAACATGAATAATAGTCTATTCTCACAGAGATGTCATATCAATCACAGGAGTGGGCTATTACAGGGACGGTTCATTTGGTTGCTGGATCGCGCCACCAGATTATGAAACTCGCTGGGATCATGAGGGTTATGACTGGCCCAGCTACCACCGCATCGGTGTATTGCGCGAACCTCCGGTGCAAGGTCGCTGGGGGCTTGCTTTTCACGAAGCTTGCTGGTCGCTACTGGAAGTCGCAGTCGCTCCCAGCTCGGTGCCGCTGAAGCGACTCTTTGATCTCTGCAGGTCGTTTCCCATCCCCAACGGCGAGCACGCGCCTAATTGGGGCCATTACTACGGCGGCCTGAATGAAGAGCATCCCGATAATGGTCTTTCCTTCGAAGTCAATGATCAATACACGAGGCACCACCGGCTCTGCATCACGCAAACCGCCAAGCGAAATCCATTTCACGTTCCAAACCTCAACAGGCTTTGCGTTGCGTCCACCGAAGACACGCCACAGCTCGGTTTCACAGGGGTGCAGACTTTTGACCCTTTCGCTTTCCTGCCGCCAGAGCTGCGCATGTACATTGCGGCCTTGCTTCCAACCCGAGACGTTCTCGCCATGCGGCTGGCCTCGCCCTTGTTCACCCCCATGTTTCACGAGCAGCGATTCTGGGCGACGCGGTTCGGGCCCGGAAGTGAGCGCAGCTGGGTGTTTGAATCGCGGGGCTGGGACTGGTCGACGGACTGGCGACGGCTGTATCGCCAAACAAACCTGGCGCGTCGCTCGCAGGCCATGCATAATAGGGAGAGGGTGTGGCTGCTCGCTCTGTACGTCAAATCGCTATTCGCGCCGAGGTTTGCGAATCCAGAAAGCACTATGGTGCCGTGGTGTTCGGATATGCATCATTGGAGTACGGCTGCGGTCGATGTACACACATGGGACGCCAAGGCTCCGTATAGAGACTTTTCTGCCGGCTGTGTCACTCATCATGAGAGTAGAAGAACCCCCCTTCCCCGTTTTATTGACCGGATCTCCTTTTATCTCAGCTGGATTGGAGAGGTCCAATACGTCGTGGGCTTGAGGGTAGTTGGCACATGTGGTGCTGTTGTGGAACTGGGATACATGGCCCAAGAGGCGGCCATTCAAGTCTGTGGGAAGGCCTTGACTGGGCTTCGTTTAGCTTTGTCACCCACAGGAATCCGAGCCGTTCGATGTGTCTTTGAAGCCGGCATTGAGGCACCCTGGATCGGATCCCTTACCGACGCGTCGGAAACGACGAGGTTGGTGTCTTCAGGACGGCTTTCCGCGATTTTTGCGCGTTTTGATGTAAGCGCGCTATTTTCTTCTTTTTCTCTCTCTTTTTTTCTCTTTTTTTCTCTCTTCCTCTGCATTGCTAACGAAGACTAGGGCTGCCGGATTACTAGTCTCAGTTTCGCGGCAACCAAGTGGAAGTATCCATCGCTGCGCGATACTGCCGTGTGGCGGGAGGGCGTCCCGAACCAAACGCTGCGGCTGAACGAGGCCTCCTTTTCCGTCATGTATGCCGACGATGGCCTCTACGACCCAGTCCAGCGGAGCGTGTTTGGTGGCACCAACGGCCAGAGTCTGCGCTACCTGACAGGCATACACGCGTACGTAACACTGACGCCGTGCGTGCTCGAGTTTGCGTTTGCGCCCGGCCATCTCGACTATCTCGACACATGCCAGGATCTGGGCGTGTTGTCGGACTCGGACATGGTGGAGCTGCAGCGTTTTCGCATCGACGGTCCTGGCGGCGAGCGCATCAACGGCGTAGAGCTGTACGTGCGGCACGACCCAAATGGTAGCTATCTGAATAATGAGGCCAACGCCGCGTTGGATTCATTCAAGGCAAGTTTTCCCTGGGGCTTCTTGTGCTTGTATGAAAACATGCTAATGAGGTGGTTAGGTTTTTACGAATCGGGGTCGGTCATGTCACTTTCAGCATACGCGAAAGTCTGACGGGAGAGGCGTAAAGATGGTGCCGGTGCCGGTCCCAGCCGGGGAGACGATAACGGGATTTTACTGCACAATGGTAGGTACCACTGGCAATTTTTGGAGGTGATCTAATTGCTAATTCGCGGGATAGTTTGGCGATTGCATCAATGCACTGGGTGTTATTACGGAACTGCTCGGCTGAAGCAATTCGGTTGCGACGGTAAGGTGAGGCATGAGGATTGCTTCGCGGAAGACATTGTACCGCCCATCGCGTCGCCTAGGTATTGCGAAAGCCAGTTTATATTATCAAGTTACATGAGATTATATGGAGAGAAATAAAGCTGATTCGGTATTGTGATGGCTGGACACGTTTTGGACCCAATTTTGTCGCGGCTCCAAAATGTCGAGAACAAGGACCCGTTAACCTGAAGCCAAGCGAGCCGATGTAATATATCTGGGAACATGGTATCTCCTTGAGAGATGACAATGTTGTATACTTGGAAATAGCATGGGAATTTAATCATGCAGAGTAATACATGATGGAGATGCAGATGGAGATTCTAAGGGATCTTACAACGTGTTCCGAGCTTGATGTTGGCGTACCCTGGCGGGTACATAGTGGTACCCTACAGAGCACATAAAAAGACACCAATACGGTAGTGTTTGGGCATACAGAATTCCCCCAGGAAATAATGGGATATAATTTACAGATTTTTGGACTTCTCTAGTTGTTTAATACGTGCTTGTGGCGATTGATTTACTGAGCTGTTCTTGGTGAGGCACAACAATGAGGCAGTCGTGAAGCGGGTCTGCCGCGAAAGGCACTGCGGCGCTTGTTGTTTTTCGCGTCTGTCAGGGACAAGTTGGAATCGTGCGGACCCCCAGCCTCGCCAAGAAAAACAAATAAACAACATTACCAGTAGAATGAAGTCCCGCCGCGACGCCGAGCCGGAGGAGGGAACTAGGCCGAGATTATTGGCAGGGTCCGTTCCAAGGCACGGAGGAAAGGCGGTGATCGCTTTTGTCATGTCAAGACGGGATGGTGGCAAAGTGGACATGCAAAATGAAAGGAGGATCCGATGTCATTTGGTTAATATTATTACCCCTTTTGAAGAGGAAATGATGGCTCTTGTATCGGAGAGACGCGCGTCAATGAGCGGGAACAAGGCCAGGAAGGAATACGATGAGAGCTGTGTGCTATTCGTGTAAAGAAAGGAATAATGGAGGTGGTGTAAGATTTAATTTGTTGTGAGAGAGACGATGGGAAAAAATCTCGTAAAAACGGATTCGTTGTTTCTCTGGATCGTATTGTACGGGGTATGAATGCATGTGGACGGGGAGGATAATTTGGTCCCTGAATTGGAGATGAGATTCGCGGGAAAGGGAACGCCGGGGTGTAATAATGAGATGGTTCGATTGACTTTTCATCTCGTCTCTTGAACCACCTTGCTGTCATGTTGTACTTATTAAGATGGGGATGAACAAAAAGCGGTCCGGCCTCTGTTTTCGTTGCATGGAAGGTCATGATGCTTGTCAGCAGCACAGGCGGGTGAGTGGTGGAAAGCTGGGGAAAATTCAAGGGAATTGCACGGCATCAATGTCTGGTTATTAAGAGACAGAATGACGTACGGAGTACTGACTGGTACATACTGTACAAAATAGTCTCTCAAGGGGGCGGATGAAGATCAGCTACTTTGGTCAGGCTGGGGGGCAGTGGTTGGTTCAATACCAAGGGGCGGCGCAGGGGCCAAGGTGGGGAGAGGAGGATTAGGGCAGATGCACTGTTTTGATTGGCTGATTTGAAGCGGGGTCTTGTCTTGTAAGTGTTTCATGTCCCTGCAGGCACGCCCCACTTCCGACAGGTACAAAGAGGTACGTACGGCAGACACTGGAAAACCAGCAATCCAGCACTGGAGCAGGAAAGGCTTTCTCATGCCACGGAGAAAAGAAAAGTTAGTCTGGAACCGTCTCTGCAAGTCTTGGCGATTGTTGTCTGTGCTTGCACGGAGGAAAAGTGAGGGGGAGACCAACACGAAGGAAGGCGTCGAAAAGAGATGAAATATAGTTTGAATCGAGCTGTTATTTTTCCAAGTATTCCTGTCGTTGCCACGTTTCCGGACTGTGTATCGCGACAAGGTCATTCAGTGCCGTCATCTATCTGTATCAGAGTTTTTCTTGGTTGGTGTCTAAGTGATGCGGCACTGATGCCCGAGCACTTGCTTGGCTCACCTATTATTTAGGCTTGGTTTAATTAAAAAGGCCATCGCCAACCACAACAGCATGATGCGACAATGGCTTTTCATGCATGCAGTCGGTGCATCCTTTGTACTGACACCAAGTATGTAGGCGCCCGACGAGTCGGTCCATACCTCAACCCCTCATTACAACCACTCTTCAACAATATTGCCCGCCTGTGCCTGCCGAGGGTCACTGGACGGCTCTCGTGTTCTTTTCAAGGGGTCATATAAGCGCCAAGTGGCTTGTCGTTGCCCCTCTCGCCGAAACGATGCAGACCATCATCTATTCGTACCGTGCCGAGCAGGCCACTCCATGCCAATCAATCCAGAACACACAATGCCGTCGCGCCCCTGATGGAAGGAGAGAAAGAAAAGAGATGGGTGGGCAAAACTCTCCCCCTTCGTCGATCTTGTTCGATGGTACCTGTCTGATGCGCACAGGGTCGCGGTCCGACCGTCTGAGCTGGTCCTACTGGTAACCGGTAACTGGTAGTACTGGCCGACGGCAGACAACCTTTTACAAATCACGCGCACCGTCCGTTATTAGCTGCCGTGAGACGAGAGGCTGAACGCTGTGCTCCAGGGGAATACATACGCCGCTGGAAGAAAAAAAGAAGACTGCCTAGCCGGTGCCCCTTGGAACCCCTTGGTAATATAATGTAGCCCGTCGTCATACTTGGCGGCGGCCGTCCCAGCGAATAAGTGGGTGGCGATCAACGGCAATAATAAAAGCGAGAGTATTATCAGGATAGGGGCTGGATGGAGAGTATTCTGTACGAGTAAAATGCAGCCTGACTTTAATCAGTTATTTATTAGTTTTTGTAGGTGGTTTGGGAGTTGGTGCGATGGAGGTCTTGCCAGCTTCCACGATGGTGTTAGGCTGGTACGGGATACTTTCTTGTCTGCCCAGCATGAACCATCACTGGTACCTGAATGGAATCTCTCTGCTCTCCACTCATCTCAACTCGCTTGTTCGTTGTTCGCCCGCCATCACATCGTGTGCATCGTGTGCCCGTGTGCCTGACCCAAGCTGTGGGTGTACTCGTTTGCCTGGCACTCGGTACTTGCAGGTACCTCTTCTGGGGGCGCTCCATCCACACGGCGCTCCATCCACACGGCGCTCCATCCACACCCTGCCAGCCAGCCAGCCGGTTCCTGGTTCCTTGCCCGTTTGCCCGCCGCCCGTCGCCCGTTTGCCAGCAGCCCACCCACCACCTCGCAGCCCACCACCAGTTGCACCCTCGTCGCCCTCGTTTGGCTGCTGCCCTCCCTCCTGGTCCAAGTCCATCTTCCTTCCTCCTCCTCCTCCTCCGCAAGAGACAAACGCATCGCTGTTTTTTCTTCTTCCCCTTCCCTTCCTTTTAAATCAACATCTTCAACCCACGCTCCTTTTTCCACTCTTCATCGCTTTCTTTCTCCAACTCGACATTCTGACCGTATACATTCCTTGACACCACTATTCGACAGCGCCAGCCCTTTTTTGAGCAACCTTGATCCTGTATCACGATATCGATTTTTTGAATCTTTCGGCCCGCCCAGACTGTTGTGCAATCAAGCAAGACCATTCTGTGTTTGAAGCTGACCATCCTTGATCCTCGTGCTATTTTTTCACCGTCAAAAAAAAAACTGCCCGTGTCTTCTTGAACGCTGCCACCATCATCGCCTCTGCGCCTGCCTTGATATACCAGCAACCGTCCAGCCACAACGATCCGATTTCCGAACCAACCGCCAAAATCGAATTCTTCTCTTGGACCCGGCTTCTCCGAACCGCCGCAGCTGACCAGTCTTATTCTTTTGCGCATCTCTTTGTGCGCCATTAAAAACCGGGGTTTCTCTCCCTCACGCCGCAACTGGGCCTCTCACTGGAATTCGCCCAGTTTAAATCCGCGCACGAGGTTGGAATACATAACTGCATAGTTGCGTCGACTCAACTTTCCCCTTTTAAAAGCACTTGGACTTTCCAATAGACAAGAATTTCTTCCTGCCTTTGGAAATCTATTCCGTTTCTTGCCATTTTATTTTTTGGACGATCGCGAGCCTGGTAAGTCGTTTTTGCACGTTTACACCTCTTTCCGCCCTTTTGGAAGCGCCCCACTCCCATTTACGCGACACGACGGCCCCGAGATTCGACGATGAAAGACACGAGCGAGCGCAATTTTTTAATTAAACTGCGTTGGTGGAAACTGACAACCGAGGCTACCGCTGCGCTGGGGAATGGTGTCAAATCGAAAGAGGTTTGATCGTTCGACTGTTGGCCAAGCCGCGCGCCAGTTCCTGCATCTCATCGCAATCCCATCTCACCAGCCACTTAACACCCCGTGCCTCGCAGCTGCCGCCAGCCGCCAGCCGCCTGCCTCCTCTGGCAATGCATTCCCCTTGCCACTTGCCAGCTTTGGCTCCCCTTACAAACACCTCGTCTCCTGCTTTTCACTTGATCGTCATTTTTTGCCATTGTTTCCCGCCATCTCCCAAATGCATCTCATCAACTAGTCGTCTTTTTCTTTTCGATTCCATCTCACTAACAACCCCATTCTAGACTGCTTCATCGCGTCGTCCACTCCTTGACACAATTAGCTGCATTTAAAAGCAGTTCTTGCACTTGGATATCTCAAAATGTTCAAGCTTAGTCCCGCTATACTGCTCGGCTTGGCCGCCAGTGCCAACGCCTTCTGGCGCATGGAGTGCCCTGGCCGTCTCGATGTCGCCCGAATTGACCCCATTGTCAACCCCAACAGCGTCTCTGCTCACGCCCACTCTCTTCACGGCTCTTCCGGTAAGTCACTCACAAGCTTATACTACGCCAAGCACTGGCAACGTCAGCACAATCTAACTCGACGTAGGCCTCTCCGCCTCTGCTGACGGCGCTGCCCTCAAGGGTGGTGACTGCACTTCTTGCCGTGTCACCCAGGACAAATCTGCCTACTGGTCGCCCTCCCTCTACTTTCAGGATACCGACACTGGCAAGTTTGAGCTCGTCACCCAAGTTGGTGGTATGCTCGCCTACTACCTTCTCTACGGAGACAACATCAAGGCCTTCCCTGACGAGTTCCGCATGATCGCTGGTTCCAATACCCGCCGCGCCTACACTGCTGGAAATCCCGAGCAGGCTGACCCCGACAAGTCTCTCTGGCAGTCCATGGGCCAGACCAAGCAGAACCTTCTTGAGCAGCGTGCTCTCGGCTTCAACTGCCTCAACTACGACAAGCAGCCTGAGGGCACCCTCTACCGCCATTACATGCCTGACAAGGCCTACCTCGACGCCAACTGCAAGGATGGTATCCGTCTCGAAATCATGTTCCCCTCGTGCTGGGATGGCAAGAATACCGACTCTAGCGACCACAAGTCTCACATGGCCTACCCCGATCTCGTCATGACCGGTACCTGCCCCGAGGGTTACGAGACGCGCGTTCCCTCTCTGATGTTTGAGACCATCTGGTCCGTCGTCCCCTTCAAGAACCGCAACGGTCGATTCGTCTTCTCCAACGGTGATACCGAGGGTATGTTTTTCAACTTGGCTCTTGCAAACCGAGGCCTTGCTAATTTCATAATTTTCATAGGCTACGCTTACCACGCTGATTTCATGATGGGCTGGGACCACGATTTCCTCCAACAAGCTGTCAACACTTGCACTAACCCCTCTGGCAAGATTGAGGACTGCCCTCTCTTCAACGTTGTTGACCAGGGCACCGCCACCTCTTGCAAGCTCCAGAAGTCTCTTCCCGAGACGCTGGCTGCTGAGATCAAGGACATCCTCGGTCCTATGGCTAAGCTTCCCGGTGACCTCGCCGTCTTTGGCGACAATGGCAACCCTTCACTGCCCGAAACTGGCGGTAGCGCTCCCTCTGCCACCTCTGCCCCCGCTACGACATCCAAGCCTACTCTCAGCTACACTCCTGGTGACACGCCCACAAACTCTGCCTCGCCTCTCCCTGGCCAGGTATTCAAGCAGGTTGATTCTGAATCAGCCTCTCCCTCTACTCCCGCCCCTACTACCGCCTCTGCCCCCGTTGCCGCTGCCGCTGCTGTCACTGAGGCTCCCACCGCCACAGCTGAGCCCAGCTACTACAGCACTCAGTACATCACCAACGGCAACACGGTTAGCAAGATTCTGTGGAAGGAAGAGGTCGTCACCGTCACGGAGACTGCCGAGACTACTGCCACGCAAATCGCCGACGCTGCTAAACGCCGTCGTTCGCACCTCCACGGTCACGCCCGTAGGAGCTAAGTACAAAGTCGCAGAGTGATGTGAAATCCCAAATAGTAAAGGCTGCAATTTGATTTCGTGGTGGATTTTTTTGACAATCTGGACAGGTTCCGGAAACTGGAACGGCTTTCGAGTTGGCATGATTTAGACAACGTTTCGTCTTGAAGGTTCTTCTTTTTTTTTCTTTTTATAGATGCAGAGATGCTATGCAATTCTTTTGATAACATAGGATTTAACAAGACCCAAGCAGCCATGCGTGTTTGCCACTGAAATGACGTGTGTGTTTGTGACTTTTACCCCAGGCCGAACTGATGGGTAGAACCCCACATCTTGGATTGGCCACCATCAACACCGAGGCTCAAAGAGACCATGATAATAATCCCACAGGTCAGTGCGAGCTAAAACTGATCGTTTTTGACAAAAGAAAAAGATAGCTAACCTAGTTTATCTTGCTCGATATCTACAAAAGAGACATTTTCTTGCCGGTGGTAGGCCCCTTGGGTGGCTGGTGGTGCGATGGGCTGGAATGCATCACACCAGGCAACACATTCCTCATGCTATTGCAATGGAAATTACACTCCATATACACTCATAACAGAGTCGCTTGTTTATGGGCGATTTGAACAAAATGTGACCGGTCCGAGCAACAACTATGATGGTTTAAATCGCTCACACTTTTTCTCCTTTCACACTTCTAGCCTAAGCAGCACTTCGAATACGAAGCTTCACCTCGACGGCTTTATGCCAGTATAGTCACTCTTTTCTTCTTCTTTTGACAGCTTGGTGGAGAAAAAGGGGGAGACGCTACAGCTGATGCTGGCCTCGACAAACCCCTTCACAGGACTTGGATGGACGAAGCCATGATGTACGGTGCCTCTATCCGTGGCCATGCCGGCACCATCGGCGACGGCCTTTATATCCTGCAACGGCGCGGCGCCGCCACGCTCGGTCTGGGTTGGCTCATTGCCATAATCCTCTGCGGCGGCGTCTCGCTCTTTATCGGCGTGGGCTTTCTGCTGGCCTGGCGAGCCCAGAAGCGGCACTCGCCGCTGACAATAACCCAGACGACAGCCTCGCTGCCCTACGCGGCGTCGGGCTTTGTGTCACTATTGCGGCAAGGGCAATCAACGACGCGGCTGACGAAGCGGAGAATGACGGTGGTACGGGAGCGTAGCAGCGCGAGCGAGTTTAGTGACGACGACCGGACGACGCTGAGCCGGCTCTCGATGATACGCCTACCCTCGCTTCCCGTGCTGCCGCTGCTGCCCTCGTATAGTAGCCTGCGGCTCTTTCACCACCCAAGTGTCACGAGAGCGTCCTACCGCCGCGAAAAGGGCTGGCTGGACGACGAGGAGGCTGCGGTTGCCGGAATGGCGGCGGTCGGAAGTGATCCGGTGGTGGCGGGATCGAGTCGCAGACCAGGAAGTGGGAGCGGCTGGGCAGGACAGCAAAACCAGCCGTTGGGACACAAAGTGATGATGCAAGGCATAAACGCAACGGTGCAGGAAAGGGAACAGAAGCAGCAGCCGGCACCGCTGCCGCACCAACAGGATATGAGACAGGAGCGGCCAACCAGCATCGACTACGACCACCTGTACGACCCCCGCGAACACTCCCGACATACAAGCGAAGAAGATCCGCCCATGCCCACGAAACCGAGCGCCGTGTACACGGGAGATGTAGGTAGCGCCCCTCCGGCGTCGCAAGGCTTTGTCCGGCCCGCCGCTGCCGTACTCGCGCGGCACCCGACCCGCACCGACTCGGAGCTTCGCGACATTCTACGCTCCACGGAGCAGCGCCTACGCGAGGGTGACCGCAGCCGCAGCCGGTCCCCCGAAAAGGCGGCGCTGCGCACACCGCATAGTTCACCGACCAAATCGTCGCGGCGCTCGCCGCAGCATTACCGCCTCCTGGGTAGTGCGAGCGGTGGCGGGTTGGCCACGCGCGAGGGCTCGGCGGCGTCGGTGGGTAGCGCGACGAATAGTCTGATTGTGCACGCCACCGAGGAGCTACAGCTCCCGGGGGGGATGGGAAGTCCGAGCCGTCTGCGCGGGCACGAGTGGCTGGCGGGGGATGATGTGATTTTGGGCATGACGACGCCGCAGCAGCGGCACGAGGACGAGGAGGAGTATGTGGCCCGCCGCGACAGTGCGCAGATGTTGTACCAGCAGCAAATGCAGGAGTATCAGGAGAAGATGCAGGAGTACCGACTCAAAGAGAAGCAGTATCAGTTACAACAGCGGCAGATGCTTCAGCAACAGCAGCAGCAGCAGCAGCAGCAGCAGCAACAGCGTAGCCCGCAGAGAAGCCCGCAGAGGGAGCGCTCCCAGAGACGACGGTCCGTTGATAGTGATGCCTCATCCAGCCTCTCCACACTGTACAGCGTCGACGATGACGAAATGGACGATGTTTCTGTCCAAGCCGTCGTCGGGGGTCCTAATGATCCATTTGTCGACGGCAGCCGCATGCCCGTGCTCGCGCCTCTACGGCGCACCATGACCATCAGCTCCGAGACGCTCGCCCGCGACGCCATGCCATCGTCTGTCCGCTGCAACCCGCCGCCACGGGAGCAGTCGCGCGCGCCGCACCAGGGCGGCTACTACCACCGGATGCACAAGTCGCTCGACGTGCACCCCCTGCCGCCGCCTACCGCTGAGCGTGGTATTCGCCGGCCGCAGTCGGCGCTGCTGGCCTCCCCGCAGATATCGGAATCAAGCTACACGGACATGTCGGTCGACACGACGACGCTGAGCCTTTCGAGCGAGGAAACCATTACGGCCGAGGATGACGGCGTGGAGCAGGAGTATGAGATGACACCGGTCAAGGAGGACGATGGCCGCAGGCGTGGGTCGGATGTCTCGTCATCGCCGTTTAGTGAGCAGGATGTGGTGAATCTGATTATTGCGGCACAGCAGGCATCACCGACCAAGCAGACGACGACGAGACGTGCGCTGCCGACGCCACCGGTATTGCTCCAGCCAGATGGCTCGACAGCGCTGTCGCCGCCGCCAAGGAGCGTCGCCCGCAACAAGTCGCTGCGAAGCACGGCGCTCGCTCGTCAACCATCCGTCACGTCGTCGTACTACAGCAACGACGGCACCGCTAATGCGCCACCGCCGGACACCAAGGCGGCTGCCGCAGCGAACCCCGTCGGGCTGTCCGTGTGCCACTCGGTCGCGGAACTGCGCCGCATGAACTCGCTCATCAGCGTCACCAGCAACACCTCGCTCACCTCGTCCGTCACTCCCGCGGCTGGCGAGCCTCACCGCGATAACCAACCCCTACGGGCCACGCTCTCGGACGGCCGCCGCCGCATGGGCAACCGTCAGTACCTCAACGTCGGCGGCAGCCGCGACAAGCTGGACATTGGCAGTCGCAGGAACGTACCCCGACCGGGCGGTCCGCGCCCAAAGAAGAGCACGACCGGCGGTGGACACGCGCGGTCCAACACGACCGCGGCCCTCTCCACGACGCCGGAGCGACCAGCCAAGAACCCGCGCCGCAGTCTGGTGAATACGGGCTCGCAGCAGCAGCGCGTATCGCCGGAAAAGGAACAGGATAACGGAAAGGAGAATGCTGGCCTGGGCATCTCGCACCACGGCTCGCCTGTGCACACGCCGCCGGTCAAGAGCCTGCGCAACCCGGTCCTGGCCGAGTTGGCGGCCGCCGAGCGCCGGAGCAGGGAGAAGCGCAGCAGCGTAGACAGCCTGGGCTTGTATGACAAGGACGGCTTTTTGCTGCCGTCGCCGGAGCGCGAGCTGCACAAGAAGCTTCTGCGCATGTAGGGGCCTGGCCTACCGTCCAACACGTTCCGTGTCACTGGGATAAAATTTCTTCCCTTGTTCAACTACTTTGTACCCGGGAAAACGTAGACGCTGTTTTTACCCTTTTCCTTTCTAGTGGCGTTTCCATCACGCGCGACGCGTGGCGACCACTGTGTTGCTTCCTTTTTTCCGTCTACATGGATGGTATTCAACCGGCATAGCTAAATCATAATTAGGAGTCTTTTACTCCTGTCTCATAATCAACTATATAGTATATTGAATAAAACACCTTTTTTTTTCTTGTGCACTATTCTGGTATTGTCCTGGTCCTGTTTTGTACTCTTTTTTATAAGCTATTCCAATAAACGCCGTCCCTAGTCCATGCTTTCTTCATCACGAGAGAAGACCTCGTCCTACTCGACCCTTTGACGCTTGTTCTCGGCATCCTCTTCCCCGTCGTGGCCGTTGACGCTATCCTGCGCCTCGACCTCGTCGCGCGCCCTCGTCCGGCCCGCACCCTCGCCCAGCTCCTCCTCGTCCTCGCCGCCAACCTCGGCCCCAGGACCAATCCAGTTGCCGCTCTCGTCAAAGTACTCGGCGACATTGTCTGCCGTGATCCAGCCGCCGCTGCCGGGCATGGGCGGGGGCAGGCTGCCGTCGGACGCGCCGCGCAGCACGCCGCTGAAGCCCTCGAGCGCCTCGTGCTCAACGCTGCCTTCAAACACAATACGGTCGTCGTTGTCGTCTTCGTCATCATCGTCGGCGGCCGGGTCGGGGTGCAGGTTGGAGCAGGCGGCAATGGCTTCGTAGAGTGTGTTTGCGGCGGCGGCGGCGGCGGAGGCTGGCGGGCGGATGGTCAGCTCGATGAGGGCGTAGTCGTCTTCGGAAGACCCCCCGTCGGACAGCTCGAGCTGCATCCAGACGGCGGCGGAGGAGGAGGACGGCAGCTGCTTGATGGCGTGGATCGAGATGGAGGGGTACGGTATCGAGACGCCGGCTTCGGCCGCGGGGCTAAAGATGATGAAGCTCCTACAGAAAAAGGCCACGTTTAGCGACTATATTCGGTATCAGGAAAGGATCGTGTTCGCGGGGCCAACGTACTCGGATGTGACGTAGACGTCGACCTGCTGCTCGACGAGCTCCTCCTCGTCGGCGACGCCGTTCTCGCCAGAGGTGGTGGTGGGCGCATCCGCCGGGAAGACGGCCAGGACGCCGCGCGCGACCTGCTCTTTCGGCGCCGAGGCCGCGGCCCCGGCCACGTGCAGGTGCAGCACCGGCTTGCCGTCGACAAAGGACGCAGGCGTCTGCGACTGGTACTCGGCGAGGGGGACAAAGTCGGTCGCCGCGGGCGGGGTGCGGATGGTGGTGGCAATCATGGTTGGGGGTTTCGCGTGCGGCGGGGGGTTTTATTGCGTCCTCGACCGAATGGGCATATATATTTGGATAAGAAAGGGGAAAGAAGAGAATCAGGCACGAGCTGTGGAAGCTGGGAGCTTTGAGCTTGCTGGCATCGTGGGCGACGAACAAAACTTCGTTTGGAGATTTTGGGTGGGGCAATGACATGACTGCCAGACAGCACCGCAGGAAGAGAACACAAAGACAACTGCAGGGCGACTGTACAAGAGTTGATTTTCTTCATTGATCATTATAATTCTCTCTTTATTTCCACGAATCTACCTCTTCCTTCGATTTGTTGCTTGTTGTTCGCTGCTCGAGATCTCGTCTTTGTTCTCGCGATATTCGCTAGCTGCTTTCGTCACCCGCAATGCAAGCTGAGTGGCCGGAAGCTCCCTCCTACACCATCATTGGATGACTTCTCGGCACTCGTAGCCATCTCAACACTGTCGCATAACAGAGAACTCGCTGGTCGGAAGTACCAAGACACAGGCTGTCCTGCTCAAATCGCTGCATTCTCCTGCTGCCGCAAGTTGAACCATGTACAGCCATCGTACGCCCTCTCCCGCCTCCCTTCATTCCAGGGAACGGCCGGCTGGCTAACAACTCTTCCACTCCCGCAGGCCCTCATCCTCTCTTGGAGCAGGTGCCGCTCACAGTATCGCCGTTTGTCTCTCTTCCGACCGCTACGACGCTCTCCTACACATACAAGACAATGCCGTCCAGCATCCCGCCCTCTGCGCTCGGCATCCCGACAGCCTCCTCGTCCGGCGAGGGTGCCGCCGCGGGCGCAGCCGACCAACCGAAGCCGCGCTTCGTCGTCTCGCAGACGGGCACCGCCGCGCACCCCGACGACATTGTGGCCTCGTGCCAGGCGCTGCGCGCACACGTGGCCCGGCTGCAGGAGGACGCGGACCGCGAGCTGCGCGAATTCGAGGAGCGCATCCGCGAGAGAGACCTCGCAGAAAAAAGACGGCTCGCACCGGGCTGGCTGGACAGCGACGCACGCTTACTGCAGCCGGAAAAGGGCGCGGCAGCCGCGGCCGCGGCGCGACAGGCGGAGAACGAGCTCATGGTCGGCGAGCCTACTACCGGACAGGCTGGCGCTACGACGACTACGGACGAGGGAGCTGCGCTAGACAGGGCGTTTGGTGGGATGAACATGAAAGAACGGACATGACAGGAACGACAATGGGCATGTGCGGAAACGCAGCCAAAACGGCACACAACTTGTATTAGGTGTTAGGGAGTACTATTTGAATTTACATGTTTTAGCCCTTCAACTGGTTGCGAGGCCAAATCTTTTTTCGAAAATTATACAGTCTAGATCATGTTGACGGCGACGAGGGCGACGGCACCGGCAGCGAGCATGGCGGGCTGCTGGAAGGCGGCAGCACCGACCTGGACCTGGGTGCTGGTGGCGTTGCGGCTAGACTGGAGGTGATGTTAGGGTGACTGCGACAACGGAACATGAAGGGTTCGAGAACGTACAGTGGGAGCAGCGCTGGCGGACGGCTTGGCCGTGGTGGCGGCAGAGGTAGAGCGCACCTGGGAAGAGGCGGAGGTCTGGGCAGAGGTCCGAGGGGCGGTGGTGGACTGGGAGGACTGGCCGGGAGCGGAAGAGTGGCTAGAAGCAGGAGCGGAAGTAGCCGGGGCAGACGAGACCGGGGCGGACGAGACCGGGGCGGACGAGACCGGGGCGGACGAGACCGGGGCGGACGAGGCGGGCGCAGACGAAGCCGGGGCAGACGAGGCCGGAGTAGTCGACGCGACGGTAGTCGTCTGGGCGGGCTGAGAAGAAGAGCCGCCACCGCTGCCGCCAGAGGGCTTGGGGGTGGCATCGAGACCGCACGTCTTGGCGGCGGCGCCGACCTTTTCGCCGTACCACTTCCAGATGTCGTAGGTCAGGGCGCAGTCAAGGCAGCTGCTGAGGAGACCCTGCCACCTGGTGTCGGTGCAGTAGCCATCCTTGGCGTCCTGAATGGCGTAGCCTGGAAGGGGAAAAAGGTTGTTAGAGAAGGGGACGTGGGCGAAGAGGGCGGCGGGGGGAAGAGATGTTACATACCGCAGTTGGCGTGGCACTCATAAGCAGGACCAGTGACCTGGCGCTTGTTGAGGGGGACAGCATCGGGGAACTGGAAGCCGACGCCGGCCGAGGCCAGCGAGGCGAGGGAGCCGACGGCAACGATGCTAGCGACGAAGTGCATGGTGACGGGTAAGAGTAACTTGGGGGGAGTCGGTTCTAGTCAGGGCCGAAAACGAAGGACAATGGAACGAGTGTTGTCGAGGAACTTGTTGTTGGAAAGGGCAACCACCACCAACACGGTGAGAGAGAAGGGCGAAGCGTACTTATAGAAAAGGCCGCTAACTAACGTTACTGGGAAGAGCCCAAAAAAAGAAAGAGATTGAAGGGGGCCCAGGGAATACGGAGTACGGAAAGCCACAGTCACCTTGTTGTTGTGACTTGGATGGCCCAGCCAAGCGACAGCGGCGCGCGCGTACACGCATGGGTTCTGCAATGTTGGAACAAGCGGGGATGGGAACAGCGAGCGGAGGAGCGCATTCGGTTGCCGACGGGGGAAAGGGCCGGACTGGATGCAGAAGAAGGCTTACGGATAACGTACGTCTTGAACGGGCACGGCCTTCCAAGGTCTCCAATGGGCCTAGAAGCGCCGAAAAGAAGACGAAGCTGGGCAATACTAGTTATGGAGGGGGGAGGGGAGGGGATATGAAGTGCCACACCGGAACAAGCCACACGAAAGCTGTTTGGATCCTTTTTTCTTTACTTGAAGCAGGTTGACAGGCATGGGCAGTTAATGTCGGCGCTCGGCGGAAGCGGCTGCAGGAAAGCAACATGCCCGTGCTCTCTTTTGAAGAAGAGAAATGTGGGTGGCTGGATCTTTTGGCTGCATGTGTACGGATGCTCCGTATCGTGTGGTCTGTTCGCTTCGGTAGTGGTGTGGAGGAGGAGGAAAAGAGGCTTTATTGGATTTGCTTTTTGGTGACTTTTTTGCTCCGAGAATGTTTGTCACTAGCTTGTTGTGGTAGTTGCAGGGGACGAGGGAAAAGAATACCGACTTGTCCTTTATCGTTTTTCCCATTGACAGATTTGTAGCACTCGCCAAAATAAAAATAAAAATGAAAAAGAAAATAATATGCGACGTGGGACGGACATATGACTTGCTTCTGGCTGGAGCTGAAATGCACGAGCCCCAAAAAGGGCTGGTATATCAATCGTGCCTTGTTCCAATATCATGGGTTGCACGGCAGCAGCACAACCAAGTTCCCAATAACGGCCCAAGCCAGAAATGATAATTTAAAAAAAAGAAAAGAAAAAAGAAATCGCTCACGCCAAGCTCTTGTAACTAATTAATACCGATAGTGCCATCCCCTCGCTTGCCAAAATCTTGCCCGTTGTGGCGAGCGGGGCTTGTCCCCACCATGACCAATAACAGACCGTGAATCCATCTAATCAATTGGTTCCCATCTTATCAGATCATCTGATAACCAACAAAATTCTCAACCTTGTCCACCCCTTCCCACACCACCGTTTTTTCTTCTTCGTTTCTCTCCACACCACCTCCGTGAGCCCTTGTTACCAGCCCCATTACCTTTTCAGCTGATTGCGCCGAGAGGGTGTTGTTGCACTGTTGACGGCAACCATTGGCAAGTCTTGGCGAGCGCCTTCCTCCTCCTTCTCCTCTTTTGGGTGGTGCCACTTCTGGCCTATTTTCTGTATACCCGCACAACGGACCGGTTTCTGCCACTTTTGTTACTGCATTACAGTATCCAGTTCTCTTTTTATTACTCTGCTAAGCTTTTGTATGACATGTGGCGAGTGGAGTTTTTTTGGGCAGAGAATAACCTTGTCGGTATGGACCCGGGCCAAGACCGGAGCCTTTTTGTCGCCCGCCACTTGGTTCCCCAATGCGTGTGCCCGCCCGCCACTTCGGACTGGGCAGGTGACTGAGCTCGGCTTTACAACTTGCCCCTTCTTGGGTGGTTGGGGCTTGAAAAGGACGTGGGAAGAATTAAATGAAAAAAAAAAGGAAAAAGAACCCGGCATTTGGGGTCTGCCCCTCGTGTAAAGGTGTGACAGCCAACTCTTGTTTTTTCTTGTCTCGTAGTTATTAATATACCGACATCATCCCACTCCTACCATAGCCCGTTTGTGTCTGCGCCTTTGTCTCCTCTCGACCCAAGTTTCCCTGTCGTACCGCCCCCTCCCATTCCGGACCGGCATCGCCAGCTTCCCCCCCTCCTCAAATCTCCCGCAGCAATGCCTCTTCGCACAACTCTGGCCGTCGCCGCCGCCTGGGCAATCATGGCCTCTGGTGCCGCCGCCGCCACCACGTCCGACACCATCGGCCCGGCCGCCTTTATGTGGCCGCCCGACCGTGTCTGGTCCGCCGACGCGGACAACACGGCGCCGTGTGGCTCCATTGCCGGTGTGCAGAACCGCACCGTGTTTCCCCTCCGTACGATTCGCCTCTGCGTGCCTATTTTTCACAATTTCTTCTTCTAACCAAAATTGTTTGTAGAGAGCGGCAAGATTGCACTCGTCGCCCAGGATGAGTCGTATGACCTGGAACTCGCCGTTTCCTATCTCGAGGGTAAATGAAGCTCCTTTCGCTGCCAAATCTCAGAAACGGCAGCACAGAAAACTAACAGAAAGATATCGCGCAGACCCCAGGAGCAACGGCGACTTCCACAACCTGATTGACATGGCCGCCTTCAAGGACATCAAGCTCGGCCACACCTGCGTCACGCTCCCCGACGCCGCCCCCTCGGTCAAGGCCGGCACCAACGCCACGCTGCAGATCAAGTACATTGCCGACTTTGACAAGCCCGAGAACCAGACCTTTTACGCCTGCGCCGACATCACCTACGTCGCCATTTCCGACTTCAAGGAACGCATCCCGTGCTTCAACGCCACCGAGCCGAGCCCCGGCGACAACGCGTCCAAGACGGGCGGCTCCGGCGCCGGCGCCACGGCGACGGCTTCGCCGAGCGCCACGCCCGCCGCGTCGAAAAAGTCGGGCCTCTCCGGCGGTGCCATTGCCGGCATCGTCATCGGCTCGCTCGCCGGCGTCGGCCTGATTGTCGCCGCCGCCCTGTTCATCTTCCGCCGCAAGCAGCAGCGCCTGCGCGTGCTTCGCCAGCAAAACTCGGAGCGCGGCAAGTGGGCGGCCGGCGGTGCCGAGGCGGCGCGCGACTCGCAGTCGCAGGGAAGTGTCCGGATGAACAATTTGTAATTATGGGATGCGATGCGTGGTGTTTGGGGGCAGAGCGTTGATGATGCAGGTTACCGCAAGGGCGCATTTGTTCTTGGGTTGATAGTCTAACGTGTAAAATGAATTGATTCCCGTTCAATATATCTTTATATTTCATCCTAATCTGGGTTAAACAATCTCGGTATACGTGCTGGAGGCAAATTAAGGAAACAGACATTCTGTGTAAAATCAGGAAACAAACACTGCGTTGCAACAGAACCAGCCAGTTCTCTGGGTCCTCTCTTGGTTCGCACAAGCACATTCACATTCTGCCAAGACGGAAATCACATTAACTCGGCCAAAAAAAAACCGTCCCATCCATCCTACACCACTTCAATCTCTGTCCGCCGTGTGAAACACCAGCGCGCGAACCTCGATGCTCTCCCTCGTCGGGGCGTCCGCCGGGGTGTCGGGATCCTCAAAGGCGGTATGCGGGACCCTGCGGGCGCGGCCGTCGGTCTTGCTGTCGAAGCACTTGATGAGCAGCGCCTGGTCGGGGGCGAGTCCGGAGCGGTAGTACCAGCGCTGTCCGGGGCTGTGGCGGACGCTAAAGGTCTCGCCGTTGCGGTTCGGGTAGATGAGCTGGCGCGGGACGAGGTCGGCCTCGGGCACCGAGTGCGCGTCGGCGACGGCGAGCGGGTCCCGGCGCACGGTGCGGATCGGCCGCCACACGTTGATGATTTGCACGCGGCCGCGCACGAGCTCGGCCGCCTCGCCGGGCAGGTGGTGCGCCACCCGCGACAGCGACGCCGCGTACGTCTGGTCAATGTGCACCTGCTGCACGGGCGGCCGCGCCGTGGCGTCGAGCTTGGTGCCCGCGGGCACGCGCCGGATCGTGTGGTCAAAGATGAAGATGCGGTCCGCTCCGGTGCTGTTGTGTGTCAGAGGAAAGCTGGCGGGAAGGGGGCAGGCAATTTGGGAGCGCGATCTGCAACAACATACACGTCTTTCAGGAGCTGCTCGGTCTCGGCGTAGTAGCCGGCCTGGATCTGGTCGTCGTCGACAAAGTCGCGCTCCGTCACGCCGCGCTGCACGACTTGGAAGCCGTTGCGGTCGAGCGTGTAGGCGTCCTCGTCGCCGGCAATGTCCTTGATGACGACGGGGTGCGTGTCGCGCTGCTGCTGGTACGACTCGGGCTTTCCGACATAGGTCGGCGGCGGCGGGGAGCCGTCGGCGTTGGGGAGGTAAAAGTTGAGCGTCGTCGTCACATCGTGTCGGGGAACGCGGGGTTCTGTCTGCGGCGCCGTGTGAACCCTGGAATGGGTGTCGATAATGGGGGCGGCGCTTTGAACTGCTGCGGCGGCCATGATGCTTGGTCGATGTGGGTGGGGGAATAACTATTGTATACTGGGTGGGGAGGAATCGAGAGAGGCCTACTATGTGATGGACCGATGCAATCGAGAGTCTGTTCAAGATTCGCCTGATTTATATAACCGCGACGCTGCACCCTGCTCCCGCAGCACGCCATTGGGAGCGGACCGTGGTAATATCTGGATTGATAATCATACGCCGCCGTCTACAGCGAGCGGAGGACGCTGTCGCTGATTCACCCACACGGACGAACAAGCAGCAGCCAATAGGACTATACATTTGGAAAGTTGATTTGAAATGCGTGCGGAGTTGCGCTTTTGTCATCCCCGCGGGATCGCGCCATCCTGCACCAATAGAATCCGTTGTCGAGCGATCGGTAACGCAGCGATCAGACGGCCCCGGCGGAACAGCCCATGCACTGACCCGGAGACTTTTAGTATAATCATGGCCTTGTCTGAACATTCCTGCCTCGGATCGGCTTGTGGGCTGATAGAAGTCCGCTACAGCAAGGGCTCTTGACAATGTCCGGCGCCCTTTGTGGCTTCCACTTTATGAAATACAGGTTCTTTTTTTTTTGAAAAAAAAAAGGAAAGAAGAAAAGAAAGCTTCCCCTGCCGTCTTACTATCTTAGCGTGGTACTTGCATGTAAGAGCCTTCTACTCTTTCACACGACTTCAAGTATAGAACATGGTTAGAGGCAGGCGCGAAAAGTAGTGTAATCAAGGTCCCAAAAATTGGTCAAGTATATTCATGAGCTTCATTAAACAGTATAACCCCTACTGAAGAGGCTTGTGAACAAGCTTTGTAATTGTCGTTCCGTCTGCAAGAGTGGCGTCCTCTTCCTCAAGACTGTATCCCCACCACTTGGGAATGAAGACTGTCCATACATACCAGTATACTACACTGATGACAACGCTAGTTCCGGTTAGTTTATATAGATCTGCTTTCGACACGAAGAGACTCACGTGGAAATGCCCGCAATGGCATATGTAGCGTAGAACAAACCACCTGGGTATTTGTCTTTGGGCGGCACGAAAGGCGCTGCCAGCAACGCAATCGTCAGCACAAGTTTGACCGAGACGGCGAACAGCGACGCCTTGTATGGGCGATATAAATCTGGCTGCGAATAGCGCAGCCACAATAGTCCGACCGCAATCGCCAAGCCCATAATCTGTCCTCCGTAGCCTTCCACCTCGAGGATGAAGGAGTAAATCTTGCCCGATGGCGGCAGCACGATGATCAACAAGGAGGGAATGTAGTTTACAACGAGTGCACCGAGCGGTGAGTCGAAAGGTTTCGTCGAGGAGAGCGTGTCGGAGAATGGCAAGAAGCCCTGACGCGCAATTTCGTGCTTCAAGCGCGCCTACATGACAGTTAGCTTCAGTGCGGCGCGGCGGCGGCCAAGAGGGAATTGGACTTGCCTGGGCGAATACGACGACCAAGACGTTTCCAAAGGCCGACAGGGCGACAGTCAGAGGCAGCAGTCGGCCGCCTACACTCGTTCCAAATATGCGCTGGAAGAAGAGCGCCGCAATCAGTTCGCCGCTTTCCTTGATCTCGTCGAGCGGCACGACGAGAAAGTAGGCCACGTTGATGAGAAAGTACATGATGCACGACGTGGCTAAGGCGGTAATGGTCACGGAGCGCAACGTCCTGACCGGGTCCTTGACCTCGTTGAGAACATTGCCAATGTTTTCGAGACCAGAGTACGAGTAGAAGACCTTGAACATGGCCGTGCACAAGATGCCCCAGTTCCAGTTGCTGTCCTGCCACAGGCCGCCCCAGGTCGCCGCGCCGTCGCCAGGCGCGCCCGTGTCCGGCCGGAACACGACGACGTAGAGCCCGCACGCAATCATGAAGAGGACAATGGCAATCTTGACCCATCCGAGCACGTTTTGCAGGCGCACGCCAAACCTCGGCGTGATGCCGTGTATGCCCGTCACCAGGGTGAGCAGGCCGACGGCGACGCCCTTGCGCAGCAGCTCGCCGGCCTCGTACTCGTCAGCGTAGCCCGCGGCGTAGAGCGTGTACTGGCTGAAGATGACGCAGTTGCTCGCGGTGAAGCCGAGCAGCACGGCGTTGATGGCGACGAGGGTCGAGGCGAGGAAGCGCGGGCGGCGAAAGGTGTACTCGAGGTACACCTTGTGCCCGCCGGAGCGCGGCAGCATAGACCCGTACTCGAGCAGGATAGCGAGCCCGGCGGCCGTGACAAGCGCGCCGACGACCCACAGCAGCAGCGCGAGCCCGGGGCTGCCGACGGCCTGCAGGATGGTGCCCGGCGTGGCGAAGATGCCGCTACCGATGATGCGCGACATGACGAGGATGTAGGAGCTGTTCCAGCTCAGAGTGCGCCCGAGGGTCGACGTCTCGGGCAGGACATCGTCTTGGACCGCACGAGTCGGCGCGTCCTTGCGTGTGAGGCCATGTTCCGAGTCGACGGACAGGGTCGAGGCGTTGGAGAGGCGTTCACGCTCGCGCCCGGGGAGCAGCGGCTGCCGCTCACTGGTGTCGTCGGCTGCCATGATGGAAAAAGAAATCGTACATACAGCACGGATTCTGACCCAGGCAAAGAACCGAGGGGCCAGGCTGAGAGCGGTGCCGCTATATACGCTGCGGTGTTACGCGTACGGCTGAAACACCGTCGGGTGACACCACACCGAATCGGTAGCACAATCACTATGCATTTCGGAATATGGCACCATCCAGCTCGGGGACGGCTGTTTGGTGTGTATGTTGGCGGTCGATCAAGCAACATTACCCAACTAGGCCGAGCCGTGCCTGATGGCGTCATGGTAAGCTGGTAAGCCGCAATGCCATCGTTGGCCCGCGTGTGCCGAAAGACGGGCGAAGCGCTGCTACACGGCTTTTTTTTCAGGGCGTCTTCTCTTGCGTTGTATTTGTAATACGGCAGCCCAGAGGCTGTGGTACGAATATATTTGTTTGGAATGGGGAAATGTCGGCTGGCGCTCCAGGAACGTCGCTGCAATCAAGCGCCCGGTTCATCTCGACCACTGCCCGGGGGGGAGCTGAAACTGGTTTTCTATTTCAGAAGAATTCGGAGACATAGCGACAGAATACTCGTGTACTCGCAGTTGAAATAGCCATGAGAAGGTCATGTTGATATTATCTTGTCCCCTCTATGAGAGAAGAAACCAAACTACAAGGCCGCCCGCATCATTACGTAATCACATTGCGCCCTTGCAGATGCTTCATTCCCTTTGCGCCTCCAGTTGCTTCTTCTCCTGTCGAATCCTTTTCTTCTCAGCAATCTCGGCCAGTGCTTTCTGCTTTAAATATTCATCCAACTCAGCTTTCGTGGTGACAGGCACCACACTGGGATCGTACCTTGAGCGTGCAATCCATCTCCCCCGTCCTTGTCCATCTTCGAGTCCATCAACGGCCTCCAAAAACGCGTCAAGTTCCTCCAGGCTAGCCAGGCAGATCCAGCCTCCAAATATTTTCGAATAGTTACTTCCAGCCGCCACTGGTTTGAACCTGAGAAAGTATTCATATAATGCCTCTGCGTCGGGAGGTGCTCGCAAAGTAGCTTCTGGCAAGTCGACTTTGGCCTGAAACGGGTACTTTTCTCGAGGTGAGGGACATCTCTTACGAAATACGTCGCTTCTCTCTACATTGATTCTCTTTCGGTGTTCAATCCGTCTTTGATTGGCGCGATTGGAATGGTAATCACGGCAAGCCTGGATGAGATCATCGCCTCGAGGCTGGTAAAACAGTAGTATGACCAGGGCACAAATAGTGCGCATAGCATCGTTCCCAGCGTTGTGTCCCCTACTATTTGGGGGGGCAAAAGTTGGACAGGCGCGTTCATAACCAAAGGCGATCAGGGTATTTTGTAGGCTCGGCGCTTCGGGCATTGTGGCGAGGTCTATAGCCAGGTCCTGTACATCTACCCACGAGGTGAAGCAGCGCAGGAAGCGCGGATAGTTGTGGGATAGAATGAGAAACTCTGCATGGAGATCAAATCCCACCAGTGTGAGTGTCGGGGCGTCGCCACTAGAAGTAAATTGCTGCTGGGTAGTTTGAACAAGGTTGACTAGAGCTTCCTCGACTTTGCCAGGGTCGAAGGACGGGATGACTTCTTCGCCTCCCTTCCAGAAACGCTCTCCAGTGAATCGTTTTCGATCGCCGACGCGAATGCAATGAGAGGACACGTGGAACTTTTCGCAAGTCTCTTCAAACGTCCGAGGCGGCTCAGAGCTCCGTCCAGCATCCGCCTCAGGAAAGAGAAACGCGAGGCCGATTTCAGAAGCCTCTTTACTATCTCGTTTTTTCCCGTTGCAATCTAACCACGGCTCGGTATCAATAGCAACAAAGATGGTGTTCGAGACGTGATCCTTGGTAGATTGGAGATTGGCAAGATTGCTGCGCCACAACTTGGTCCAGTGACGCGTGCGGAACAGTCGTGGATACTCTTCAAATGGCATCTCGGCGACGATCACCAGGGAGCTGCCAAGGCTAGTCGATGTTTTGGTTTGTAGGTATAGCGAAGCAGAGAAAATTGAGGTCACGGCGGGCAACAAGGAATATTTTACACGGCCCCGGGGCCACGTGACAAGATCGGGCGAAATAACTTTGCACCAGTGTAAAGCTAAACAACTCAGCGCATCAGAAAACGAACCAAAAGTATCAATAGTCATCAAGTGGCAAATGGGTGGGCACGGTCAGTTAAGTCTGGCCAGCAATTCTACAAAAAAAGAAAGCCGGTGGGAGCAGGATTCGAACGCTGCGCTCCCCGAAGAGAAGTAAGATGATTCTTTTCCAACCAGAGCCTCAGCAGAAGCAGATGGAGCGGGATTCGAACCCGCGAGTACGAATACAATAAGACCTCATCCTACCGCCTTAACCACTCGGCCATCCCACCTTTTTGTGAAAAGAACGAACGATATTTATCATATGGAGGATCCAGTCTGTGGGTAGCGGGCCTAATGCAGTGTTGCGGCATAGGAAGCAGCCAGGCGAGACAAAGAAAGCGTCGACCGGGAGGTATTTCGTGGTAAGCATCGGTGTGTACTTATATCATAGTGACGAATTCTCATTCGGCAAACTGGAGTAGAAAATGCTGCGGTAGCTTGACAAGAGTCGCAGTCTTACAAGAAACGGGTAGGAAGTTGAAGTGGAAGTTTGGGGTGTGGGCGGCTGCCGTGGGTGGGCGTGCCAGGTACCTACTTATACTACAATGCAATGACCCACTGCTATTCTTGGGGCTGTACCTATAAATAAATGGCGCAGCCGGGCGCAGCTAGTTAGCGGTCTGAAGAAGCCACCTGGTGGGGCATTTGTTAGACCGCAACTGTGGCGTATGTGGCGGCACACCCGCCACACACACGGCCAAATTGGTAGCAATTGCTAAAAGATTTCGTGCGACCGAGGATTCATCAAGAAATAAGTCAAACCATCAAAGATTATCAGCGTGACCCCGTCATCATGAAAACCGAATACGAGCGCTTCGCACACACACCTACAGCAACTTCAAACGCCTCTTGCTGAGATTTGAACAAGCTTCTCAATTATGGATGCTGCGCGCGCAGAGTGATTGATATCTCTTGGTCGGCCGTATACCCCGGCTGGTTCGCCGAGTACGTGATTCTGAACGCGCGGCAGCGGACATAGGACATGTGGCCGCACAAGTATGAACGTTACTGCCATATTTGAAAATGAGTAATGGTTATACTAGGTGTGCGTTGTGGTGCCACCTGACGAGAACCATTGGCCAACAGCACCACGATCTAAGATCCAACGTCAACCACGCTTCCTCGGCCACGCAAGTTTCTTTCACGGGTCCCACCGATTGCTATTCAACGCGACTCCCGACACAGCACCAATCGTACGGTTCGCGTCGAGCATCTTGCTGCAGTGAATGGCATGCTTCTCCGTGTTGAAGCGGTCCTCCAACGTGATGCCCAAAGCCTGAGACCGGATGGCCTTGCGCCAGTAAAAGAAGCAGTGGACCATGTGCCACCGATACGTCGCGTAGAACCGCCCATGTCTCGGGTCATCGGCCAGAGCGCCAATGTCCCCGACGGCAATCTCCGTGCTGTGATGGACATCGGACCAGTACGTCCACGTGCCGTTGGGGCCGTCGCCGGAGCGGTCAAAGAGCGCCGTGAGCTCGTCGTCCCGGCAGTGAGGCGGCAGCCAGGCCGCGGCCAGCGTATCGTATTGACAGCCGAGCCGTACGGCCTGCGCGACAGACGTCCCGCAGTTGCAGCCTGGCAGGGCCGTGTCTTGTCTGCTGTGCTGCGTCGCCGTGGAGCGAGCCCGGTCCGCGACATGCTGGCCGAGCGTGACCAGTGTGGGAATGGCCAGTGCGAGCAGGATTACATCTTTCAGAACAATAGCCGACTTTTGGTACCGGGAGAAGAAAGAACATGGCCTTGTCTGACGCGAGGCGACTTGCTCTGGCAGAGGGCCGCTGAGAAGGCTCTCCTCTTCCTCCAGAATACGGGTACTGGCTCGATTTAGTAAGTTATGTGCTCAAGAAAGGGGTTGAAACGTACTTGTTTAACGATTTCGTGGGTCGCATTTTGGACAATAAGAGAAATGTTGTGCAAGATGAAAAAGGCGTGAGTGTTGTGAATGAAGTGTCTGGCAGCTGGCTCCAAGTCACTTGTTTGTCCTCAATAGAGCGAGCGGCATATTGGCAGTTGAAAGCCAGAGCGACTTTTCGAAAGACTATGAGCGATTTTCAAAGCCTGAAAACTATACCTGCTGTTCAAATATGTAGCCTGATTGCATCTCCTGCCTTCTCGGCAATGCGAGTCGTACGGTAACAGGCCAACCGCAAGGCTGCCGTAACCAATGATATACGACTAGTCTCACTCTCGCATGTTGCTTGCATACATTTGAGCCGCTTATGCACGTGTGCATGCTATATAGATGCAGATTCAGCGCAGGTAATGGGGGCTGTGTCTCGGACTGACGTGTCTTGATCAGACTGGTTGCCTTCTGGGAAAGATGACTGCGAGTTTGACAAATTCATTAGGCGAATGCAAAGGAAAGCAATCCTTTAAAAGTATAAGATGTGTCGTATTTCAATGAAATAAGATCAGTGAGACTACTGTTCAACTCTTGCATCAACACTACAGCTCATCTGTCAGACACTTCTACATTCGCAACGCTACGTGATAACCATCACTTCAATTCCGCAACATGAAGCTTCATTTCTTTACCGTCCTGGCCATTGCTACGGCGGCATACTGCACTCCGATCGTGAAGCGCTCCTACGAGGAGCCTGAGGGTGCTGCCGAATGGCCTTCACTGCCTACCATTGAGGAGAAGCGCGGCTATGCCGAGCCTGAGGGTGCTGCTGAGTGGCCTTCACTACCTACCATTGAGGAGAAGCGTGGCTATGCTGAGCCCGAGGGTGCTGCTGAATGGCCTTCACTACCTACCATTGAGGAGAAGCGCAGCTATGCCGAGCCTGAGGGTGCCGCTGAATGGCCTTCACTGCCTACCATTGAGGAGTGAAATCTCATGGACTGGATACCGATCCGACTCTCTCTGGTAAGTCCGCAGTGCCCGAAAGCATGGTCATCAAGTGGAAGCTAATGGCATTTCTGAATGAAGCTGCACATCCTGAACCCAATCCTCAGCACCGGAGAAAAGAGGCAGAGTCAATCGAGTAGTGCTAGACTGCGCAACGGGTTGTCTTCGAAGTAGCAAAAGTAGTTGCGAATATTATATATAAAAATTGGATATAATTATTCAACAACTTCCAGTATGCCGTATTTCAAGCCTATAGTTTCTCCATCTTGTTGTCAGTTGTTCAGGCGGAGCCAGTAGTTAGATGAGCGCGCCATTGTGTGCGTCAAGACTCCTCAGCTGGGGCTGGACCAATCATATACCACACTTGGATCAGCAATGATTGGCCATGATGAATCTCCTCGTAATGGAAATCCTAGCAGATTCTATTCGCAGAGACGGCTATATTAAGGCCGCCCATATCGCGGCCTTGCCCCACCTGCGTACAGTTGTTTGTTCCGGATTGCCGATACGGGCGCTGCATGTGACCTCTTTTGGTAGACTTTTGAGGCCTTTAAAAGTTGATTTGGCCACGGATATACTGTAGTCAGTTCCGCTGCCGTTAAAGCAACAAGGGGGGTCATGCCGTCGTCAGCTGCACGTCTCCAGTCCAGTATGCTGCCTGGTGTCATACTCGAACGAGGTTGGACGATGACTCGTACCAGTTGGTCGCGATTATCCATAGTAACGAAAGCCTCGATATCGCGGGGAAAGGAGCGAGCTTTAGGGTGAGACATGATGACGCAACCCGTGGGTTTCTTCGTTGCATTGGGCGCGCCCACCAACGCCGACCATGAACTGCGACGAATTGCGACGGATTGTCAGTCGACGCAGAAGTCCTTCTAGTCGTATTTATCTTTCTGGCACCATGCAACGTGATTGCTTAGGGTGCTGCATAACACTTCCCTAGGCGGTGAAGTCCCGTCCCCTCTTGCTTGCTTCCCTCCCCCCCCGCATTCCTCTTCTCCCGGCTTGGCAGTCTTGAAAGCTTGCGCCATTCAATCAAGGGCAGCTACTTGAACACTGGACAAATGGACGGTCTCGGAGACCTGGTGCAGGCAGCCAAAGTATGCCAGCTACTCTGCTACGACTTGCTGCTCCTCGAGCACGGCGGGGTCGCCCATGTGGATGCAACCGCCGGGCCAACCAACGGCAGCTCAGGTCCAGCCATGCGCACTCTGCAGGAAAGAATGGAGGCACTTGGTTGTCAAGATTATCCAGCCTCCTCATCGTCCGAGGCGTATCCCCGGTCCACGCACGACTGGGTCAGGCTGTCCGAGAAGCGCACGGCGCAACTCGCAGCGCAGGTGCTCGGCAAAGGGCAGAAAGAGGATGTGGCGTGCGACTTTGATGCAGCAGACGACGCAGACCAAGACGATGCCACGCTCGAGAAGAGGGTTCGAGAATGCGAATTCACAGTCCAAACCTGCCTCGAGCAGATTGCACGGCAAGTAACCTTGACTATCATCCCTAGGCAGAGAAGAAATGTAAGGCTGGACTAATTGCCGGAACAACAGGTCAACGGCAATGGGACGTGCCAAGATAGAGGATGGTAACAAAATCAAGCCACATGAGTTTTCTCAGCTTTGCCTTGCTGCCGCCGAGCTCGCCGCGGCTCTAGACTGCCCAGCGACAACCTCCTCGGATGGAACGAGGAACGTGCTGCAAGACATGGCCAACACAGTTGATCAGGCCCTTTCTGCGGCCAAATCCCACATCATCCTGGACCTTCTCAAGTTCCACACCCTCTCGGAGCGGTTCGAGAGCATCACGCAAGCCGAGGAGAGCACGTTCCGCTGGCTTCTCCGCGCGGACGGCGGCGGTGACGATGCCAGCAGCCCAAGCGCGGAAACAACGGCCCACGCCGCGGCCAAGGAGCGCCTGCTGCGCTGGGTCCGGCACGAGCACGGCTTCTTCTACATCTCCGGCAAGCCCGGGGCCGGCAAATCGACGCTGATGAAGCTCATCTGCGGGCACGCGGGCTTCGCCGAGCACGCGGCGGCCTGGGCCGGCGACGCGCAGCTCGTCACCGGCCGCTTCTTCTTCTGGAAGCCGGGGCACGCCGAGCAAAAGAGCATCGCCGGGCTGCTGCGGGGCCTGCTGTGCTCCATGCTGGAGCAGGCGCCGCCGGCGCTGACCGGCATCGCGTTTCCGGCGCTCTGGAAGGACTGCAGCCCGGAGCGTGTGGCCGGCGTGGCGGTGGAGCACGGCCATGTGCAGGATGCGTTCCACAACATACTGCAGGCCGCTTCGGATACGGGGCGCTACAAGGTGCTGCTCATGATTGACGGCCTCGACGAGTTTGACGGCGACCACGCGGAGCTCCTGGCGCTGATGCGCGCGTGGGTCGCCGCGTACCCGGCCAGCGTCAAGGTGTGCGTGTCCAGCCGCGAGTACGGCATCTTTGAGGACTTCTTCCGGCAGAGTCCCAAGATGCGCCTGCATGAGCTGACGCGCGGCGACATGGTCGGGCTCATCGCGCGTCGGCTGGCGTCCAACGCCCTGTTCTCGTCGCTGGCCGAGGACGAGAGGCGAGACACCATGCAGCTCATGACGGAGCGGGCTGAGGGCGTCTTCTTATGGGTCGTCATGGTCGTCGCAGCCATGGACGACGTGATCCTGTCGGGCGCCGTCACCAACGCGCGCGAGCTGCAGCGGAGCATCCAAGACTGCCCGACGGAGATGGACAGCCTGCTGTCCCACCTCCTCTCGACCGTCAGCATCCACAACCGGCCGTGGGCGTACAAGGCCATCTCGCTGGTCACGTATGCCCAGTTCAAGGTCCCGGAGATGGTGCCGTCCAAGCACACGGCGCCGGGCGTGGGCCTCTTGGATCTCATGCTGCTCGACGAGGCGTCGCCCAGCTGGAACATGTCGGCCTTTCAGCCTCGCTCCGAGAGCAAGTCGACGGACCCGACGGCGCGTCTGCCGGCGGCGCGTCTCAAGGTGCTGAGTCGGTGCAAGGGCTTCCTCAGTGTCATCACCATCGCCGAGGCCGCCTGCTGGCCCGCCAACGGCGACGAGCGCATGTACGTCGCCGTGACGCACCGGTCCGTCGTCGAGTTTCTGCACTCGGACGCGGCCCGGGGCATCATGGCACTCTACCTGACGCACTTCAGTCCCTTCTTCGCCCTCTTCTCCACCATGCTGGCCTGTCTTCGCTTTCTGGCGCCGTCCAACTACCCGCTGCTGCGCGCACCCGCGGAACTGGCCAGGAGAGACGGTCTGGAGCTAGGCGACGTGCTGGCGCCTTCGCTTCAGGATCGCTGGCGCGAGCTGATCCATTCTGCTTTTTTGACGGGGCAGTCAGGCTCACCACGATTCTTCAGCATCCTCGACGCCGTCGGGGATGCCATCAAGCGGCACCTCGTCCTCCAACTGACGATGCGAAAAATATCGCTTTCTCCTACCAAGGCGTCCCCGCACCAGTTGCTGTCGCTGATGACCCTGGAGAAGCGCATTCCCGAGTACAGCGCGTGGAGACGAGGACCTGGCGTGGGGGAATCGGTGCGCGGCCACATGAGCCTCAGCTTGTTTCGCGCTTTCCATCGTGCTATTCGCTACTTTCAGCTGAATGATTACGAGTACCCGGCTCTAGGGCAGGATAGGGCAGGAACCAGTTTGGTCAACAAGCCGGTGGATTGGATCAAGTGGACCGGCGCCAACAAGCCACCCAGTGTCTCTGAAGGGACATTGACGGGACTCTTGACCGAGTTTTTTGAGAGAGGTCTTGATTTGAACTGGACTTGCTCAGAGGCTACTTCCGTGGACTGGGATGGACCGCTGACGCTTCAAGGTGAGCCATGGACCTGTTGGCAAGCGCTACTATGGGCCATGCTGCTCGGTGAGATTCCATTCTCAGACCGATATGCCCTATTGATCGACTCCTTAATCAGGCACGGGGCCGATACAAGTGTTGATATATTCTCTACTGCTCCGGTGGAGAGTATACATATGGAACGCTTGACACCGCAGAGCGGGTGGGTGCTGCTCATCCCATTTGCTGGTCATGATTCCTTCAACGACGCTGCGATGGAGAAGAATGTCGCAGACGCTGCTCCTTCACTTGGAGCACTTTACAGCCGCGTACCTGCATTGCTAGTTAGAGATACAGCTCCTTTATACTTGCTCGCAAAAAGCCACAATTGGCATCTGACAGTGCGAGATCTTGTCACAACATGGCTTCCCAACGAGGGGGGCTATTTCAAACAGCTGTTTGACGCTGTAGATCAAGGCGCACTCACTGACAAGAGAAGGATGCCTCCGCCTCTAAACGACACGATAGTGCCAGATGCCGGAATCTTGGGCCAGGGCCGGGGAGCATGCGATCTGGAGATTTACCTGGAAGAGAAGAGGGTGGCCGCGGGGCTGCGAGGTGATGCGGCGACGATTCGCCGAAACATAAAGCTTGGTTGATGCCCGCCTAGTCAGCCACAATTTGTCAAAATAAAAGACAAATTGTCATGTAACAGTCGCAGTCTCCAGACCAAGTTGAATCTTCCGGCTGTAGGCTTCACCGAACGTGGGCACACAACCCCATTCCATGTCTTGGCAGCCTAGCTTTCTGCAAGCCAAGAAGCCAAGAGCGCCGAACCCGTCGGTCTATTTCCTCAATAGGCGCACTAATCAAGGACAGGAGACATGATCCCTGTTGGAAATGGCACGTGTAGGCCTGCATCATCGTACTGCCCTACGGCCACGGTCGCGCGGTATCGACACTGACTGGATCAACAACATGGCGAATAGTAACGCTGCATCGTACTAGTAAAACTACTATTTAAGCTTATATTAGCCATCGTGTACGTAGCCGTAGGTAGCCGGCCGAGGCATCGCAACTATATATTTGAGCATTGAAAGAGACTGGACGGAAACGCATCTTACCATTAGGCTCGCCCTTCCTCATCATCTCTTACCATCAGGCTCACCCTTCCTCATCCTCCATCAGCAGCAACGACAGTCACCATGCAGCAATCAGCTCTTTGGGCTGTCGCCATGGCCGTCGCCGTCCAAGGCACAGTCGACAACTCCAAGCTCGACCCTCTGCGCTTCCGCCAAGACGGCACCTTTCACATTTCCGTCTTTTCTGATTTGCACATGGGCATGTGTACGTCCACCAACCGTGCAACGCATTTGTTGCCTCCATCTCACCACGTACAGATGCCAACGTCGCCCGCGGCCCAAAGCAAGACGCCAAGTCCGTCTCCGTCCTCGCCTCCGTCCTCGACATGGAGCAGCCCGACTTTGCCGTCATCAATGGCGACCTTATCAATGGCGACTCCACGCGCCTAGACAACAGCACCCACTACCTCGACCAAATCGTGCAGCCCCTCATCGCCCGCAACCTCACCTGGGGCTCAACCTACGGCAACCACGACCACCAGCCAAACCTCTCGGGCGAGCTCCTCCTCGCACGGGAACAGAAATTTCCCGGTGCGCGCACGCAGAGCATGGTGCCCGGCGTCGCCGCCGGCAGCAGCAACTACTACCTGCCCGTCTACGCCGCCACCTGCCGCGACGTCCGCTGCTGCGCGCCCAAGCTGATCCTCTGGTTCTTTGACAGCCGCGGCGGCTACTACTACCAGCAGCGCGACCGCCTCGGCCGCGCCGTGCACCACCCCAACTGGGTCGACGAGAGCGTCGTGCGCTGGTTCGAGGCGACAGGCGCCCAGCTGCGGAAGAGGTACGGCCGCATCATCCCGTCGCTCGGCTTCGTGCATATTCCCGCCTACGCCTCGGTCGAGCTGCAGGCGCGCGGCGTGGATCCGAATCGCCAGCCGGGTATCAATGACGAGAATGCGAGCCCGCAGGCGCAGGGATGGTGCGAGGGCGGCACACACGAGTGTCCGTACGGCAAGCAAGACGCGGGCTTCATGACGGCCATTTCCAAGACGGAGGGTTTGATGGGCCTCTTTTCTGGTCACGACCACGCCAACTCGTGGTGCTACAAATGGGACGGGGAGCTACCCGGTGTCGAGGCCAAGGGCAACGGCGTCAACCTGTGCTACGGCCAGCACACGGGCTACGGCGGTTACGGAGACTGGGTCCGCGGCTCACGGGAGCTTTTCGTGTCTCTAGACAAGCTCAAGGACCTGGTCATTGACTCGCACATTCGCACGGAGCTGGGCGATGTCATCGGTGCCGTGTCGCTGAATGCCACGTACGGCCAAGACTCGTACCCTGCATCGCCCAACGACAAGACATATCTGTAGTTGATCAGATAGAAAAACGTTGACATCTATTGATCCAGCGAGTTGCCCAGCATGAGCGACTGCTGATTAAAGTATTGGGTCTCCCAGTCCTCCACAATCGTATCAAAGTTGCCCCATTCTTGGATCGTGTCTGGCTGCAGCGGAAGGTTGAGTGTCTGCTCGGCAGTCGTCGCAAACGGCTCGTGGTCCATGGCGCTCTGCTCGTCTCCGTTGTGGTTGCCGTTGTTGTGCAGTCTCTGACGCGACTCGATAAAAGCCTTGGCGATGCGGTACAACGCCGCGCACAGCGTCTTTTGGCGATGTACGAGCTCATATCCAATGGCAATATCGTCGAGTGTGTCGAGCACACTCTTCAGCAACTGCAGGTCGTTGGTATCCGTGCTGGCGATGCTGTGCAGAAACGTGACGATGTATGGCGTGAAAGACGAATACATGAAAATCCTGACGAGTAAGTGCTGGATGACAAAGGGGGGGGGAGGGAAACGTACCAAACGCCGTAATATGATACTGTCCCGGGCCCTGATGCAAGCACCGAGGGAAAGATGTGCAGGTGCGTCTCAAGACCCTGCCGGGCGGCCGCGAAACACTCGGGTGAAATATCAGACGGCGAGTTGGAGCTGGTGCTCCCGCGATGCAACAGCGTGAGCACCGAGTAGTAGATGATATCCACAGCCATAAAGGTATGCTGGTGCACCATTGGATAGTACGCGTCGGCGCTTTTAATCTGATGCCACTCCATGTACCACTGGTTGAGCTCAGCAGCGAATGTAGCGACACGGGCTTGCCGTTTCGAGGGTTCCGCGGCCAGCGCGACAATGGCGCCCGGGGAGTAAATCTTGCGGTAGATTTTGCTCTGGAGGCGGGAGAATCCAGTGAATAAGCGCAGAGACGTGTCCCAGACAGCCTGGCGCGGATCCGAGGAAATATTGAGCTGCGGCACGTCCACATCGAACTCTTGAATGACGGCGGCGCGGCCGAGGCGCAGCGTGAGACCCAGCTCCGAAATGTAGACATGCCAAAAGAGGAGTCGGCGCTTGTGCGACTCCTCGGGAGAGAGCTGGCCTTTATCGTTTCGATGGTATCCTAGCTGCACGCAGTGCCGCGCGGCCGCGGACACGACGGCCTGGTGACGGACAATATCGCCGATCGTATGCGCATAATAGGCCTTAGCAGTTAGTCTCTAGTTTTGAGGGGAGAGGGATGAGACGTACAGCGAGACACAGTGTCAACGCATTCTCGTAGTTTGCGATGGCGATAATTTCTGCCTCCTCAACGCCTTGGTTAAAGTTGGCGTCGGTCACTTGCCGATACTTGGCCAGGTCCTCGGCGTCAATCTCGCTATCACCGCGAGACTGCACCTCCCAAATCGCAAAGTACAGCAGAGCGTTGAACAAGGTCAGCTGACCCACCGTCATGGGATCTAGCGGAAAGTATACGTTCTGGCACAAATTCTTGAGCAGGTCGAGGTCGGGTATCGGATGAACAATCAGCAGCAAGGGCTTGGCGCCTGCTTACTCGTTAGTGGCCACGCTCTCCGCACTGTACAATACGGAGAGTGTCCATACCGTTCTTCACTCTGCTCTCGAGGTAGCGAATAATCTTGAGAACAAAGCTAGAAGGGACCTGTTCCCTCTTGAGGACAGGATCCGCTCGGGGCCCCGCGAGAGCTGTGCTGCGACTCGTGTTGGAGCGCGCCGGGGCGCTGCTCACGTCGCTCAGCGTCTTGAGCTGGTCGGCCACCTCGCTGGACTCTGCGCTGGCCGGATGAGCGAGCTCAGCAATCTGACTGGCAAGGTACGACTGGCGCTCGAAGGACGGGTCGCGCTCGACGAAGCCCGTCGAATCAGTCCAGGTCCTTTGCGTGGCGGCAGCCACTGGCAGGACAGAGGCGCTGCGGCCGTCGCGGCTGGTGGCACCGGGGTCGAATGAGCAGCTGGGCGACGGCGAGGTAGACAACTTCTCGAGGGCTTGCTCGAGGCGCGCTATACGCTGTTGCAATTCTTTGTAGGGGCTTCCGTTGCTGTATATGCACCCACACCGCGAGGGGAAGGGGAAGACGCGGCGGCGCTCCTCCTCCGCCGGTGTGGTCTAGATTAGCCTGCGATGCTGTATGACGGGATAGTGACAAGGGCCAAGGTGGTGTGGTTTGAGGAACTGAGCTAGAGGCCAAAGGCTACCAGTCCAAGTTCGTATACAAATTGTATACAAATTGTGTACAAATTGTATAGCCCCGCGACCAGGTTGGAGGCCGCCGACTTACGTGGATACAGGTGCCACGGCCGCGGAACGCCCAGCGCGCGATCCGGGCTGGCACTGTATATGAGAAGTCAGGCAGTTGGAGCACGGGAGCTGCCGGTTGCATCTGATCTGCGGTCCGTAGTCATTAACACAGCCGAACCCCTCGCAGTGTTTGGAAAAGGCAAAGAGTTCCGCCTCGTTTTCCGTTGCTCAAGTCTCACGAACAAGCGCACATGAGATGGCAGATGTGAAAAGCAAAAGGAGAGGCACTCACCTTGCGGACTCGGCAATTGTTGCACTAGTAGCCAATACAATGCGCCGTGTCAGTAGTCCCGGTCGTGAAGCTGTTTGCGAGATCTGGGTGGCGGCAGACATACCGCTCGGGGCACGACACTGGGGGACTCCATCATGAGCATTACAATGGTTGGACCCTTTGCATCATACGTCTTCTAAAAGAGGCTCTGGAAGATTCCTTACGTGTCTGGGTGAGACGCAGAGACGCAGAATGCATACCCGGAAGTCACGGTGCCGCGGAACGCGCGGAGCACGTGGGCCTGTCGCCTGTAACCACTTACACAACCCACGATCCAACTCGCTACCCTGTACTATGTACCCTGTTTTTTTTTTCAATGCCTCTCTATCCGGGCTTTCTTTTCGCCATAACTACTAGGTTGCTATTAGGGTATTTGCGTACTTTAAGAAACCATAATGGTTTTGGCCGAATGGGTGCGTTTAGGTGCATGCCACTCGTGGACGAGGTAATTCCATCAACTCCAATCATGGACACACGACACGTAGCAACATCGACGTCTGCAAGCAGGCACTGGTTTACGACACTGCTGCAACAAAGTCATTTCAATAATCGTAATGTAGCCAATTTATCGTCATTACTATTTTGAGGAGTTTTCGCTGCCCATTTCCTTTCATCTGCCTTACAACTTACAGGAGGCCACCACCCCCGAGAATCTGAGCCGCACCTGTCTTAACGGCGTTCATGGCCGCCAGATACAGCGACGGACCGATGCTGATTCTAGCCACGCCCATCTTGGCCAGCTCGGCCGTCGAATGACCACCATCCCTCTTGGTCAGCAACACGGCGACGCGGCCGTCCAACTCGGCCACCAAGGTCTGCACCTCATGGGTGCTGAGCCCCCGCGCGCCGCCGCCCCAAAAGAAGACAGTCGTGGCACCGGCCGCCAGGTACGCCCGGCCACGGTCCAGCGCCTCGCGCATGCGCGTCGCATCATCGAGCTCTGGCGCAACATCTAGCCTGAAGACGTCGCAGCGCGCATTGATCACGAAATCCGGCACGCCCGCGGCGGCGGTCGCCCGGAGCGCCGTCTGGATGCGCGCGACGGCGTCGGCTTTACTGTACAGCGAGCCGGCGAAGCCGCGGCCAAAGCCGGCCGCGGGGATGCTGTCTTCGAGGTTGGCCCCCGCGATGCCGTACTGCGCCGCTGTGGTGAATATCTCTTCAATGCGCGCGCCGTAGCCGTCTTGGAGGTCGGCGGACAGGGGCAGGCCGGCCCCGGCGGCGAGCGGAGCGAGTTCGCGCAGGGCGAGCAGATTTTGCTCGGCGGTCAGGTCCTCGTCGGCGGCCCCGCGGGCGTGGGCGAGCGCCCAGGAGGCGGTGGCGATGGCGGCGACGGGGTGGTCGGAAGGGGTATTGAGGGAAGAGAGGGCGAGGAGGGACGGCGTGTCCCAGACGTTGGGGACGATGAGGGGTTGGCCGGGCTTGTGCAGGGCCTTGAGCGTCCTGGCGAAGTCGTTGGTGGAGGACATGGCAAGGGTGGCTTTGGTTCTAGTAGTTTGATGCGGTATCGAGTGCGATTGGATAGGACCGAGGGATTGAGTTTGAGAGTGGTTGAAGCGGCGAAGATGAGGAGAAAGAGTGGTGATGGCGAATGGCAGCAACAGAGGACCGTTCTTTATAGCGCGCCGCAATGGTTTGGTCAAAACAAGGGCGCGAGATGCCATTTTAGCTACTTTTGTCAGCCACGATATTGGTCACTATTCAGCCTCTGGATGTACGCCTTCACGCATGGCGGTGCTGGGAAAGGTGGTCCGCCGTGAAAAGACAAAATGGGCGGAGCGCGTCCCGGCGTGGAGAAGCCAAATCGTGGATACAGTGTAATACGATGTAATATGGCGGGGAGGGGCCGAAGATCGAGAGCGACACGTGAAATGAGTCGATATGGGTCATGGAATCTGGAATTGGTCAGGCAGTCGTCGTCATGGGAATTGAATGGTGACAAGTTTGAATTTGACAGCTCGTTTGCACGGCTGACGGGCCGCAGCGGCGAGCCGAAATGGGAAGCACCGTGACTGCGCGGGGCAAACGAAGCTCGGAGACTACATCTTTGTATAACACTCCGATGTGTGCAATTCAAATCGAACCCGATTTAACACCTATAATTATAAGGAACCCTAGTAATTAGGGAACTATACACTACTAGTAAAGCTAGTACTACTAGTATTAGATATATAGTAGCTAAGAATCTATAGTAAGTATAAATTATATAAGATAACTAATTCTATAAAATAAAGAGGTATTTAAAGTTAATTTAAAAAGGAATTAGTTATAAGATTAATAAAACCTATATATAAATTAAGCCTAAATTAAAACTTTAAATAGAATTATAAAAATAAGACTATTTTATATAAATCTTAATTAATATTTAAATAGTATTTAAACTTTAATTAAAAGAATAGGTTATTTTTCTTTTAGTTATTATAAAATAAAAAGGATATTTCTTAAAAGGAAAAAAAAAATAAGCTTTAGTCTTAATAAATAATATAACCTACCTTTTTCCTTTTCTATTTTTCTATTTAATCTAACCTAATTATTATAATTCTAAAGCTTTTATTAAAAGATTATTTAAAAAGAAAATAAAAGCTATTATTAAAAATAAGGCTAAATTATAAAAAAAGAAAAAGGTATTTTAACTTCTTTATTTCCTTAACCTTTTCTAAGATATCTTTTTATTATACTAATAAAGGATAATATAATCTAAGAAATTAATAATTTCCTTAAAAAAGCTAAAGATAATATATTCTCTTTATTAAATAAAGAAAAGAAAGAAATCTAATAATAGATTTATAAAGCTAAATAAAAAAATACCTTAAAAAAAAACTTTAATATTTTAAAACTAAGCTAAATAAGAAAAGTTATTTATTATAAGATAGAAGTAATAAAGATAATTACCTTTTTTAAAGTATCTAGATTTAAAATATTATTAAACTATTAAACTAATATAACTTTTAAATCTATAATTAATAAAAAAAGGATTTATAAAAAGCTTTTATAGCTAATTTAAAAAAGTTTTATAAAGAATCTTTAAAAATTATCTATACCTAGAAATATATAAACTTAGCTTATTAAACTAGATAGAATTAATATCTAAATAAGCTATTATTAATTAAATAAGAAGAATATAATAATAATTAAGACTACTTTATAAAATAAAATAAGATCTTATTAAAAGACTTTATTAACCTAGAAATAAATATAGCTATTACCTTTAAGTCTACTAGATAGAGGCTAAGCTAATACTTTATAGATTTTTACTTATACTTAGATTTATTAAAAAAGAAAGTATTAATACTCTTTAAAGCTAGGAAAGTTTAATAGTATTTTATAAAACTATAAGAATAGCTATAAAAAAAAATTATTAACTATATAAGTAAGAACCTAAAAATAAAAGAAAAGGTAGTATTAGTTATAACCTAATATTAAGAAAGTAATATATTAAAATAAAAACCTTTAAACTAAGAATTAAAAGAAGGTATTAATAAGAGGTATAAACTAAATTATAAGAATAACTAATAGGATTAAAATAGATTAAAGCTAGATTACTAAGAAAGACTATTTATATTATATTAAAAAAGAAAGTTTCTTTTATTTTAAAGAATAAAAGAAATTATTTACTATAAATATAATAAACCTAGGTATATAGCCCCTAAATACCCTAAGAATAAAAATACTAATAAGCTAGACTTAGGAAAAGGAAACTAGATAGTATAAGTAGTTCTTTTACTATTTTAATTTATACTAACCTTTTAAAACTAAAAATATAAAGCTTAGAAAAAAAGCTATAACTAGAGTTTAAAATAGGCTTAATATAAGGAAAACCTATATAGAAAGAAATAATAGCTAAACCTTTCTATATAATAAGTACTTTAACTAATTAGGTAAATACTACCTAGGTTATTTTAAATATAAAAGTAGTTATTAGTTTAATTAGTATTAAGTTAGTTTTATAACTTAATATTTAAAAATTAAAAATAAAACTACTAAGAATTAAGATAATAAGGGGAGCTTAACTCTAAGTAAGTAAGCTTTATAAAATACTAATTACTTTAATAGATTCTAGAAATATTATAAGAATTATTATAGTCTAGTATTCTTTATCTTAAGATTTAGATTAAGGAGACTACTAACTCTTAATTAAAATACTAGGTTTAAAAAACTATAATATTTTTATTAATCTAGTCTAATAGCTATAGTTCTTTAAAACCTAAAGTATATAAATTATATTAAATAAGCTTTAGTAGTTTAAGAAATAATTATAAACTACTATTATAGTTTTTATAGTAATTAACTTACTAGAATTATTACTACTTTTAGAAAATAAAGAAGAATTAAAGCTAATACTTTATATAATCCTTTTAAAACTATAAAATTATCTTAATATATTTAATAACTTTAAAGCTAGAATTATCCCTAAGTTTAAAGATTCTAATTATACTATTAATATAATAAAAGAATAGATACTACTTTATAATTCTATCTACCCTCTCTCTTTAAAGGAACTTAAAACCTTATAGGAGTTTATTAATAAAGCTTTAAAGAAAAGGTAGATTTACCCTTTAGTAAGCCTTATTAAATCTCTTATATTATTTATCTTTAAAAAAGATAAAAGCTTTTAACTTTATATTAATTATTAAGGTTTAAATAAGGTTATTTAAAAGAATTAATACTTATTACCTTTAATTACTAAGATTCTAGATTAAATCTTTAAAGTTAAATACTTTTTAAAAATTAATATTAAAGATATATACTACTAAATCTATATTAAAAAAGGTAATAAATAAAAAACTATATTTAATAGTTATTATAAGTACTATAAGTTCTTAATAATACTATTTAAATTAATTAATATACTAATAATATTCTAAAACTATATTTATTAAGTAATAGGTAAACTACTAAGCTATATCTATATTATCTATCTTAATAATATCCTAATTTTCTTAAAAACTAAAGAAAAATATATTAAATATTTAAAGTTAGTTCTAAGAAAATTATATATTATTAAACTATATATTAAGCTCTTAAAATATAAGTTCTATTAATTAAAAGTTAAGTTCTTAGGATTCTTACTCTTAGAATAAGGAATTTAAATAAATCCTATAAAAGTAAAAATAATCTAAGAATAGCCTAAAATAAAAATATTTTAAGAAATCTAAGTATTTTTAGGATTTTATAATTTCTATTAATAATTTATTAACTAATATTTAGCTATAGTTCTCTTACTTATAAGTTACTTAAAAGGTATAATAAATAAGAAAAAGCCTAGAAAAGTAGATATAAATAAAGTTAGTTAAAAGGTATTCTAATAGTTTAAAGAAGTATTTTAAAGTATATTATTATTAAAAAACTATAAGGTTAGAAAACTAGTTTAACTTAAGACTAATATATCTAAAGATATAATATTAAGAATAGTATCTTAAATAGATAAAAAAAGGAAATACTATCTTTTTACTTTCTAGTCTTAGAAACTAATAAATATAGAATAAAATTATACTATTAAAGACTAAAAAATACTAGTAATTATAAAGAGTTTTAAGTATTAATAATAATACCTTAATAAGACTAATATATTAGTAAAAGTCTTAATAGACTATTTAAATCTTTAAATATTTATAAATACTTTATAACTTAATAGTAAATAGGCTAGATAGTATATATTTCTAATACTATTTAGCTTTATAGTAAAGTATTATATAGGGAAAGGTAATTTAGCTAATACCCTAAGTTACTAACCTAACTATATTTTAAAGGATAGTCTAGATATAAGTCTAATAAATAATTTTAAAAAGAAAATAGTATTTATTACTATAATTAATACCTAAGCTATAAAGGGCTAGGTAGAACTAGTCTAACTTAAAAATAGGGAGGATATTGATAATAGGCAGCTCTAAAGCTAGAAGAACAATCTCCTATTACCTAGTATATCTAGTACTTACCTATACTATATAACTAGATAAAAGTTATATAATATAATAACTTTACCTCTTACCCTATATATACCCTATTAGCCTTAATAGGTTATAAGCCTAGTAGTACTTATATTATAAAAGCTATTAATAAAATAAAGAAAAGTATTAATTTCTTATTAAATTTACCTATTATTTATATAAACTAATATTTACTATAAAACTTAAGAAATTTATAACTCCTTATATATAGAAAGAGGAAAGACCCTAAACTCTAACTAATCTAGAGTATATTTAATAAGTCTATTTACTATAAAAATTCTATATAAAGAAAAAGAAATTCTATTACTATACCTTACTTAGTAATTTATATATAGACTCTATATACTTATTTTATATATATTATAATATAAATTTACCTAATATAATTATAGCCTTTAAATAGATATACTTATTAGATTACTTATTATAATTTATAGTCCTAGATATACCTACTAGATTACTTACTATAATCTATAGTCTTAACTACTATAAAAGGTATATAGTAACTACTTACTTAATAA